AAATCATGGAAACTCGAGTGACTGAGTGACGTTACGACGTGAGGTCACCACATATCATATATAGATAGCAGTCACCAAAAAGGTCGAAAGGTAAGATCCTACTAAAGACCTCTGGTAAACTAACATAGCTATGGAAGTCATGGCCCATTTATAGTTGATTTACCTGTTAAAAATGGTGATGTTCCTTGGTTGTATTAGTTTACCGGAAGTATACAGTAATAAATGATGTTTCTGATTTGTTTGGGGGTTCAATGTGTCATGTAAATGGCACGTATAGTTATAGCATGGTTGGTTCACCCAAGTTGTCAATGAATAAACCCTACGTCCTACTGATCCCACTCACATTCAGGGATAAAGGGCAACGTGGTAAACCCAACAGTAAACCATCCCCAATATAGGTATCTTTGTCCCGTGCCAGAGATCTTACAAAGCGACCAAGCAACAATACTTACTGGTGCTTAGTAGGGAATGGATGGGACTGGGGATGGATGGGACTGAGGTATCATTGGGTATACCTCTATTGGAGATGATGCAACATGACCCCAAATGGTTGGTTCATGTGACAAGGTATAGCATTGGATTTACCACAGTACTTACGATTGGTGGGATGAGCAGCCAAGTAGCCTTTCAAACTACGGATCCCTATGGTAATTCATTGGTTCGCTATGGAAAATCATCTTTTAATATGTAAATCATCTGACTAAATGGGCCATGGCGCCATGCATAGCTATGTTTTAGAAATTCCGGAAGGTAATCCAAGACATCTTGGACTACATATTATATATATATGGTTGGTGGTTTCAACCCCTCTGAAAAATATGAGTTCGGAAATGGGAAGGATGAAATCCCATATATGAAATGGAAAATATTAAAGTCATGTTCGAAACCATCAACCAGATATATCTATATATATATTATATATATATATATCCATTGAATAGGTAATCTGTTTGGTGGTTTCAACCATCTTGAAAAATATTAGTCAACCGGAAGGATTATCCCATATATTATGGACAATAAAAAATGTTTGAAACCACCAACCAGTAATTCATCCATATTTACATATTTTTTGGTGGATGATTCTCTGCAATTAAAAAAAATCGGCCTTGGGGTCGATCTGCGATGTTGTGACAGGCAGAGAATCCTGGCTTTTCTCCAGCATGCGCTCCTGGTGAAGGGATGATGGGAACCAACCCTGGAGGTTTACCCCCTGGTAAACCAACAACAAACCATGGAAAATCCTGGAGGTTACCCTCTGGTAAACGTTTACAACAAACGATGGAAAATCAGCATTTTTAAGGGTAAATCAACGAACTAAATGGGCCATGACTTCGATATGTTAGTTTACCAGAGGCTATTTGGGTGTGGCTAAAAATGAGATACAATTTCAATGATTTACAATGGGGATAATGATGATTAGCATTGGTTAACCAATGGATGGAATGGAGTATCCTATTTTCAGACAAGCCCATTAAACATATCAATTGATGAAGACATTTCAGATACTTAAATAAAAGGTACCCTCTGGTAAACGTTTACATAACTATGGAAAATCACCATGCTATCAATGGGTAAATCCACTATAAATCACCATTTTCAACGGGTAAACCCACTATAAATCACCATTTTCAATGGGTAAATCCACTATAAATCACCATTTTCAATGGGTAAATCCACTATAAATCACCATTTTCAATGGGTACATCCACTATAAATCACCATTTTCAATGGGTAAATCCACTATAAATCACCATTTTCAATGGGTAAATCCACTATAAATCACCATTTTCAATGGGTAAATCCACTATAAATCACCATTTTCAATGGGTAAATCCACTATAAATCACCATTTTTAATAGCAAACTGTTAGTCATTACCAGAGGCTACTGATCTTTTTGGAGGCCTATGTATGTAAGTAGGCCTGACTGTCGTCATGGCTGTAGCATGGCGACTTTTTTCCAAACCTCAGTAGCCCAGTGACTCGACCCATCCCCAATACAGTATATATCAACCATGCAACATTGATTCCAAAAAAAAACATAAGTCCTCTACACTGTTTCATTTATATATATATATATAATCATAATCATATATATATATACATATGTATAATTATAATATATATATATATATACTGTATATATACATGTATTGACCATAGTAACTCATCTGCATGTCACGCAGCTTCTATTCCCGCCCCTCCTGCGAATTTGAACCAATGATGGCTCTCATGCGCTCCCACGTGGTGGGTCACGTGGTGCGTCACGTGGTGGGTCGGGTAGTGTGCCGCGTGGTGAGTGGCGTGGTGCGTCACATGGTGTGTGGCGACTTCCGGGCAGGCCAACCTGAGTAGGTTTTGACTGCAGGTGCATGAATTTTCGAATCATACGTGGATGATCGTAGTAAGGATGTTGATCAGGTAGATACCAACAAATATGCTGATATTTCAACAACGTGGGGATGTAAATAACAAACATGAGGATCATGAACATTAAAGGACCATTTCTTTTTGCTATTTCAAAATAAATAACAAGTTTGATCCATTTTGATCCTTTAAATGTTGGGGTATTGAAATAGCAAAAAAATAAAGGATCTGGATCAAACTACCCATCCAAGGTCAACTTAGTTCCGCTTGGGTTATGTCCCAGTTACAAGGCATTTACCTGGTGAAGTACAAACAAAAAACTTGTGGGTGCCCTTGATCATGATCCCTGGCAAGCAATGTGACTTTTCCACCTGATGGAATACTTCAGCATATCTGAGCTGAATCATCAACAGCGTGTCATAAGTTTTAAGCACCTCACAAGCTGAAACAAGGTTTTTGTCAATGGACGTTTCAGGTACCTAAACTGGAGGTGCTGTACCATACAAAGCCATAGAAATTGATGGTGTATCCCCTTACATAGCCCTTACATAGACCTTAAGGTACCTCCATTTTTGGTTCCCTAATTTGGCCCTTGATTATGTTTGAGGTGACTCCACTTCCCAACTCTCATTATAGAACCCAGCAATTTTACGGTTAACGCATGTTGAATGTAACATAATGTAACCAACTTTCACGGACAAGCATCGAACTTCAACATTACAAGCAGGGATGGAACCATACCAACTGAACTGTGACATTCTGTGGTACAAGCATCGCTGCTAATTGCGGATCTAAAAAAACACGGATCAACATTGGGATACTCATGCAGCCCATACGGATTCAGCAGTGACAGCATGGATTCCCATGTCACAGTGGTGAGGACAGCATGGCGAATTATTTGGATTCGCAAAACAACAAGTGGATTGTCTGAGGTTTTTCGATACCCAGAAATTCAATACCCTCTGGTAAATTAACATAGCTATGGAAAATCACCATTTTTAATTGGAAAATGAACTATTAATGGTCATTTTCAATAGTTGATCGTGATTTCCCCCGGTAAAATTCAAAACTTTGGGGCATCCATGGACAAGTTTTGGACAAGCCAATAGTCTGATTCATTCACCCGGCAAAAATGGGGTTGAAAGACGAGTGAAACCACTATAAATAAAGGTCAGTTTCAGGGTCTATGTTATTTTAATTTACAAAAGGGGAACAAAAAGCCATCCAAAGTGTGAGGTGTACCCGGATAGAAACAGATTTTTTTTGCCTCTAGTATTTCCCCATGTTGATACGGAGCTGACCTAGTACTCGCATACACACCCATGGATTGTCATCTTGGCAGAAATCGCATTATTATTCCAAATTCAAGGGTTCAATGGAACCACAAAAAAATCCAGCTTGGCCATTTTGAGTGTCAAATGTGAAACATCCATTCTCAGGTATTCTCATGGTTCTATATGGTTCTTAGTCCCATTTTCTGAAATATTTACTATATTATCACTATATTATATATGTATATATATATATATGTGTATATATATATATGTATATATATATATATATATGTATGTATGTATATATATATATATATATGTATATATATATGAATATATATATATATTTATAAATGAATATATATATATATGTCGTAAATTCCTATTATTTTCCAATTTCTAAGTTCAACCATCACAGACGACTCTCTCCAAGATCCCCAAGGGTAGCCCCCCGACTCTAGGCATCCAGCTGCTCGTATTTGCAGCACCAGGATTTCTTGGCCTCGGAAGGGGCCAAGTTTTCCACCGATAGATGGTGACAACTTGGTTAATCATAGGGTCAACCATGGTGGTTAATGATGGTTAATGGTAGTTAATAGTGATTAATGGTGATTGATGATGGTTAATGATGGTTAATAATAATCTGGTTGGTGGTTGACCAACAATCTTTTAAAATATGAAAGTCAATGGGAACAATTATCCCATATATTATGGAAAATAAAACATGTTCCAAACCAGCAACCAGGTTATCATCCCAATGTGAATCCCCATATTTTCAAAAAATGGCTTAATCATAGGCTCAATTCTGGCTTGGTTCACCCATGAAAATTCCGGGATAACGTTATCCCGGAGTCCATTGGTTATCTAATCAGCATTGTCACTTCTATCAGCTGGGAAGCTCTCAGTAGCTCCTTGGCTACCGATGGTCACCATCCTGTCTAACCACTGGATGCCTATCAACAATTACATAGTGGGGCTATACGGCTATACACTATCTTCATCTATTTTCACACACACACACATAATGATGTGTTTCATCAAGATATAGTTTTACACCATATATAAATAGATAAATAGTTGTACACACACCATATGTAGCCCTATGTTACATTGTTAACAACACAATTAAAACAGCCTTGGAGTTTTTCACCAATGAAGAAATCGCCAGGATTTGAAGGGACCTGTCCATGGCTGGCAAGGGATAAACATCAATGTGGTGTGGAACAGTCCATCAAAATGGCAACACCAATACACAGCCAGATCTCTATTGTGATCTCAGTTGGGTATTATAGACCAGAATATCCGAGAGATTTTGACAAAAGGTGTCCCCATTTTTTCTTGGTGTCACCACCTCTGGCAACTCAGACTCCCACGATGGAAAAGCCGATCTTCCACAATTTTAAGCCATGTTGGCAATTGAAGGGGCAACCATTGGAGTACCTGCAGGGTCGGAACTGCCAGGTAGTAAATATTGTAAATTTGCATGAAGTGGTAAAGCTCAAACCACAAACCATGCTTCTAGACTATAGAACAGTAATTGTCCCCTAATCATTTTACTGGGAATTGAAGTTTCTATCTATCTGGGGTGCGTTTTTGAATTCATGTTCCTAAACATATGCCTTTTTTCTTTCACTTTTCAGATGGCTCAGCACCATCAAACACCAACTCAGAGGGCACATGTGATTCTCACAGCACCACTTCTTCCCGTCCGGACTCAGATCTTGTGTGTCCTGACGACGACGGTTTTGGCCCCGGGGATTCCGGGGGTCCTAAGACTGGGTAAGAACCATATGAAATATTATGAAATACATTGAAATACCCCAATTACTGTATATTACATGTATATATATATATATATTATGTACATGTTGTATATTGTTGGATGGGGGTTATAATAGGGCTTGATAAACCACTTACTAACTGGGATGCAGAACCGTTTGTAAGAGACGAATGGATAGACAATGGCCACGGTGACATGAATCGCATACCAACTGGTTTGCACATCCAGTCATACAGTCAATGGGAATTTCAGGAACCTAAATTGGAGGTACCTACCATATGTAAGGCCTATTTGTTCGGCCTAAATTTCAGAGAATATCCCCAGAAAATATAGGGCCTTACATGGTACAGTACCTCCATTTTTGGATCCTGAGATTCCCATTGATACAAATGACTTCAAATGACTCAAAATCAGGTACCATTTTTTATACCAAAATTTAACGTCATTTCTTGTACCAAAGTTACCAAACCAGAAGCAGTTCTTGGGGTCATACTGATTGAAAAACTAGGGTTTATATGGTAAATGTATCATTTATGATGAAACTATAAACAGTATAAAACTAGGCTTTATTGTATCAATAACCTGTTTTTGAAAAACTATAGCCAAATCAGTATGAATTCGAGGTACACTACTCGACGATCGAAAAATCGGAGACTTGAGACGAACGGTTATCCAATGATTTCTAGTTGTGTTTAGTACTGAAGCATACTAAAGCATCCATGTTTAGTACTAAACCATTAACTGTGTCTGAAAATTGAGAAAAAATGAAAAACAAACACACACACACACAAAATGGCTATCCTATTGGGGAAAACGATGATGAACCGGTGGATGGAATGTGGTGTTCCCATAATTTTCAGATAAAGCCATTCCAAACTCATCTCATCTTTTTTGACCCACCAGTGTATATAGTATATATGTATATAGTATATATAGTGTATATATATATAGTATATATATACTATATATATATAATTACTATATATATAAATACTATATATATAATATATATACTATATATATACTATATATATATATACTATATGTAAATAGTATATTATATATAGTATATATAGTGTATATATATATATAGCACGAACAGTCGCCAACAGTTGGCATCGAAGACCGACAGGGCTCCTGCGTACAATCGTGTGCCCTGGCGCATAGAGATGGTCGATCTGAAAAAACTGAGGCGGCTATTGAGGCTTCATGTTATGTCCCTACTATTGGTAACATATTCATTTCAGGGATATTTTGAGAATATTTCAGGTATACCTATAGAATCCTATAGACAGGTTATTTGATATTCGTTGAAACTCATTTTGCTTTTCTCCCAAGGTGGGGGGAATGAGCCACACCCAGAAAACCAATGATTTACATCATCTGCCACTGATGGCGATGTACAGGTCGGTATCTACTGGGTGGGGACGCCAATTCGTGTTGGGAGATGTTGGGAGTCACGATTCAATACTCAAAATTCACATCAGTGCTTGTTTTATCCGCACTTTGGCCAAAAAAAAATGGTACCCCAAATCATCCAAGTCATAAACGACCACTTTAGTATTTAAACCCATGGTGACTTGGGGTACCCCCCTTTCAGGAAATATCATTCAAGGTTTCCCATGGTAACTTGTTAAAGGTGTACCCCATTGATCCCGAGTTCCTCAACCCACAACTGGGGGGTTTCCTACCACGGGGGTACCTCAAAATTGATGATTTCGGAGTAGCCCTATTTTACGAAACCTCCAAATGATCCTTATTTTGGACTTTGACCCAAAACGAGAGTTGGCAAAACATCCAAAAATCGTGGTCTTTTGGGGTTTCAGCTTTGGACTGTCTCCATCCCTTGGACTCCCAACGTTCCATCGCATCCTTTCTCTTCATGTTTGCAGCAGTAGTTCTGGCGGTCGGAGGGCAGAGCGATTCTCTCTTGTGGCCTACTTGGATGTGCATCCGACTTTATGTGGAACAAATAAATTTGGCTAACTATTGATGTTTAATGTCTATTAAAACATATTTTAACATTACAGTTCACTCTTACTAAAAGTACTAGTATAAAGTTTACACTAAACTAGATACATATTACAGAATACTCTTCGTCATGCATTTGGAAGCTACAGTGACTTTGGGTTCGCTTAATTTGTTCGTTCCATTTTCCCAATGTCATAATGAGTAGTGAACACATATGTAATATGAAATGGGTCGTTTTTTTGAAGGCCTTCGATATAAACAAATTTCAGAAATATGCAAAAAAAAAAAGGTGCTCGGAAACAAAGGACTTCCGTGAAATTTGTTCAGGTGCTTCGCCGATGCGAGGATTTGGGGACCCAAACGGGCCCAATGCAATTTTGGGTCCGGAAAGTGCTTCATGGAATTGGTTTCCATTCACGTTCCATTCATTTCAGGTACTCACCACAAATTGAAGATTTTCCCAAGCATGTTCTATTCATTTGAGATATTCACTCTAAAGATGTCTCCAATTTTGCCCAGTTTCACTGATCTACTGATGGCGCGACAGCCACCAAGAAAAGCGCCTTTTTCTGTCGAGACCAGCCCCTCTGCCAATTCCACAGCCTTGCTGCCAGTGGACACAGCCATTGGGCATATGTTGCCCTTTGGAAGAAAACCAAACCATTGATTGAGGAGGGGAAGTACCTATTGAAATGGATTATGTCGTTCTATACACAATATTTGTCTGCATGCATCGTATATATATATATATGCATATTGATATGTGTGATATGTGTTTCTTGATGTGTCTTTCAATCAAGCAATGGCAGAAACCTCTTGAGAAATCAAATCGTTGTTTCCCATCTCATGGAGTCATGGATGATGATATCATGATGATAGTCCCCAATGTATGTATATATATATATACATATGTAGATATATATATATATATACATATATATATGTATATACATATATATATATATATGTATATATATAATATTATTGATTATTCTATTATATACATAATATTACAAATATATAGAGAGAGGGTAGTAAGTAGATCCCCTCCAATCATCGCCCCAGGGAGGTTAAAGGAACCTCATTTAGCTCCCTTCAAGTCTGATCAATGATAGCTTACCCTCTGGTAAACTAACATTTTGCTATGGACAATCACCATTTTTAATCGGAAAACGCACTATAAATGGCCATTTTCAATAGCTTTTTGTATGTTTACCAGGCCGGGTAGTATTTCTGATGCTTCAAAATCTTCAAACCCCCGAATGATCACAATTATATACGTGGCTGTGAGTCGAAGCCCTGGGAGCCTTACCCTAAAATCACTGATGAATGATGTAATGGATGTTTATTCTCCCAAATATAGGAATAATTTCAGTAATAATACTGGTTGGTGGTATACCTACCCCTCTGAAAAAAATATGAAAGTCAGTTGGGATGATGACATTCCCAACTGAATGGAAAAATAAACATGTTCCAAACCACCCACCAGCCATTAATATTCCATTACCAGAGGGTTAATCATCATTAAATCACCAGGAAAATATCCCCATTAAACCACCAAGCAGCTAATGATTAATCATCATTTACCATATAATAACCACATATTAACCACTATTAACATTGACCCATCCCCACATCTGATTCACCTGGGCAGTGCCCTGCCACCTTTTGAGTCCCTCTGGGCCCGTCCGGACCCTGCGGAGCAATTGAAGTGGCCAATGGCCTTGCGCGACCCAAGGTTGGCCTGTAAAAAATGGTGACAATTACTTTACTTCGTGTGATCCCCACCATGACATTTATACATTTTGTTACTGGCAAATCTTCTGGCATTCTATCTGACATTTTATCTTGCATTCTATCTGGCATACCTTCTGGCATTCTATCTGGCATATCTTCTGGCATTCTATCTGGCATATCTTCTGGCATTCTACCTGGCATATGTTCTGGCATATCTTCTGGCATTCTATCTGGCATATCTTCTGGCATATCTTCTGGCATATTATCTGGCAAATCTTCTGGCATCCTATCTGGCAAACATTCTGGCACTTTATCTGGCATACCTTCTGACATTCTATCTGCAATCTATCTGGCATATCTTCTGTATTTTTTTCTGGCATTCTATCTGGCATATCATTCTATCTGACATATCTTCTGACATTCTTTCTGGCGTATCTTCTGACATTCTGTCTGGCATATCTTCCTACATGAGGTCCGGCAGGGAACACTGGGCGTGGCTGGTCGTGGTTGAGGTCCGGCAGGGAACACTGGGCGTGGATGGTCGTGGTTGAGGTCCGGCAGGGAACACTGGGCGTGGCTGGTCGTGGTTGAGGTCCGGCAGGGAACACTGGTCGTGGATGGTCGTGGTTGAGGTCCGGCAGCGAACACTGTGGATCGCGGGTCGCAGTTGGACGAGGACGACGAGGACGACGAGGACGACGAGGACGACAAGGACGACAAGGAGGACGAGGAGGAGGCAGGAGGCAGGAGGCGGCAGGAGGAGGAGGCAACTGACATAAAATCTAACAACCCTCACCTGGCAGGTGGGGAAAAACTGGCTGAATTTAGATCTGAATGAAGATTTTATCAGCAAACATGGGTGGTTTGACCAGGAAAAAACTTGGGGCTTGGGATTTTCACCTGATTTTGCCATGAAAAATGGGGATTCTTTACAGTGGATCGAGTGTACCAGCATGGTGCATAGGCCGCAAGGCCCGAACCCTTACATCGATGATCGATTTTTTTTGCTCTGGATGACCCTTGTTTGAATCTCCGTTTTGCATCATTGAAGTTGATGTGTTGTCCATTTCGGGATTTTCTTGGGGAATTCCACAATGCTTCCATGTTCTGCAAGGGTGCCACATGTTTCTACTCGTGATATTCCCAACCGACATGGGTATCCAATATTACTCTCAAAATGGGTTTGTCCAGCGGTCCGAGACGTGGATTCTAAATCAAGTATTGATCATCACTTTCATTCACTTTCATCATTTAAATGACCAGAAAACTGGGCAGGGTGTATAGTATACAGTATTGAGATGTATTCAGTATATTTCGGGACTTGAGGTAAATCCGAAAAAGCAAATTTGTCATACAAATGTTGACTGCTAAGAAGTGGGAGTTCAAGTACATGGCCTATCCTAGATACCCTCCAGAAATTCAAACTGTCCACATGGTCAGTATGTACAAATATATATGTATATATAATATATAGTAATCCTGAAATAGAAAGAATAGAATATAAACATGTCAATAATATTCTATCTACTCCAGGATGACCATACTCTATCCAATTGGTTCCCAAAGGGAAAAATTGTACAATTAATATCAAATCGGTCATATATATATACCCTATGATATTCCCAGCTTACTTCGAAATCCCTAGATATATACATCATCCCCGGCAAACCACCATATAAATCATATATCATAAATATAAATCGATCACGTTAAACCATGAATAAACCACCATACTTGTTGCCGAAGATGTCGATATTTTGTTGGTTAAACATGGTTAAACCACCATCTTACCCCAGAAACATCCAGCCTTGCATCCAAGTCCCCACTTCTGGCAGCACCAGCGCTGCCTGCGCTACAGGATCACTGGCGTTTGATGGGAGGTCATCAGCCGGTTACAAGTCATGGGACTTAGTAACTTTGTTACACTAAATGGGACTTGGTCATAATAAATGTCTCTATATATAATATATATATATGTCACTAATCATTAAGTGACACTTCTGGAAACCTATTTAAATGTGACTAGTGAAATAGTGATATAGTTATTATATGCGTGATTGGTTGTTCAATGGTGGGTGATTGGTTGTGAACCCAGCCACCAAATGGCTTTCTGAATGGGATAATCCCTGTGGCTATGTGTGAGACGGGCTGTAACTTCATAATGTCAATTGATTGGTGGAGTAAAACACAAAAAAAAACAGCAAAATGAGGTTTTTACCGCCAATTCTACCTCATATTCTCCCTTCAACCAATTTTGATGTGAAATTAATGCTGTTGCATGCTGTAAAACATCCCTGAAACATTTGGTCCATGGGCCATCCCATTTGTTGCATGAAATATCATATATGTTTAATTCAGAAACTTGCAGCACTCATGGATCATAACCAAAGTTCCACTTTCCAACATGTTCCAATTGTTGGTGACAACACCCTACCTTGTGCTAGCTATTGGCTCAAATTTAAGTGTTAGATCTATAAGTTCTCTTTGTAAGCTTTATATATATATATCATATATACATATATAATTCCTATATCTATAATATATAGTATAGTTAATGATAGATTTTGATCGTTTCTTCTCCGAATTTGATCGCTAAAATTTCAACGATTGCTGACCAGTTCTCTCCGTCGTCGCCAGATGGCATCCTAATTCTTGTTGCCGAGCCCCCGGGTTGACATACGGGGTCACATGGCGGTCATCAAAATAGCTGGTAAATGGATAGTAATCCCCAAGAAATATGGTGTATTTGGTGTATCATCATGTATCATTACAAAATGGCCATTTTCAGGCAATGTCAAGCATGCACTTTGGGTGAACGCACACGTTGAACTTGCACTTCGGAAGTTCTGGGTGATATCACAAGGCATTTCACAGGGCAACTTCTCTGCGGTCGAGCCGGGCTTTGCTGATTTGTGCCCCGTCACTCGTCCAAGGCAGCCAAGAATTTCTCAAACATGATCAGCGTTTTCCAAGAGACCGTGAACTTGCCTCAGAGCATGTCCATACTCATAATGGCTTCCAAGTGCCAAGATGGATCGTTTTGGTTTATAATTCTACCAACATACCGGCAAATGTCGCAGGCAACCCACGCTGCTGATAACATGTTTGTGCAGGTCTGTACACAAGCCATTTGGGGATGATTCCCCTTACTAACCATGATTCCCAGGGTTCGGGAGAACACTGAGAACAGTGATCAAATTTACCCAATGCTAATACCATTACCCTCCAGTAAGCTAACAAAGCTTTGGAAAAAACGACCATGTCTAGATGATTTACCGAATAAAAATGGTTATTTCTCATAGCAAACTCTTAGTTTACCAGAGGGTTATGGATAGAAATTGATTTGTAATATAAAAATGTTCTTTCACTTGGGAATTTCATAATCCCAACTAATCAGTTTACCATGAATCTGGGTAAATTATAATATTTCACTAACCTGAATCTTGCGGCCATTTGGGGATGATTTCCCGGATCCATTCACCATGAATCCAGTGAGGGAGAACAATGAGGTCGTGATCAAATTTACCCAAAATCTATAGAAATGATAATCCCATGGTATATTCCCATAGTTGCTAGTGAAATACCATTTTCCCATAATATTCTCATAGTATTCCTATGGTGAGGTCTACTATTCTCTCAGATATTTTCCATGTTCACCACGCTAATACGGCAGCACCCAGCACGCCTGGTGGCCGACCATGCCAAAATCTCATCTTCGTCCGCCACACAGTCGAAGTGCAGCTCCAAAGCTGCAAAGTCGCCTGGGGCGCATTATATGGTTAATGATGGTTAATGTGGGATACCCTCTGGTAATGACTAACATAGCTATAGAAAATCACCATGCAATCCAAAGAACGGTAAACCATCTATTTCGATTAGGGCCATGGCTTCCATAGCTATGTTATTACATATCCCACATTGTCCCACATATAATAATATTTCACTATATAACCTGAATCTTGCGGCCATTTGGGGACCTAACCATGAATCCAGGGTTCGGTCGTAGTGAGGTCGTTATAATTTACCCAGCAAATAGCTATGTTTTTGGGATTTATTACTCACATGACCAAAAAACAGTAATGTGGGATCGTGTGGGTAAAACAATGTCATAAACCTGGAGATTTGACATCTTATAAAAACATGTTGATAAAACAATGTCATAAACGCACCATCCCCCAGTCATCACTATAAATATGTAGGTCGCATGTTTACCATTCCCAGTCATGGGTGGTTTATGATGATAATCAACATCAAGAATCCTGAGTACATCATCTGGTTGGTGGTATACCTACCCCTCTGAAAAATATGAGTTCGTCACTTGGGATTATGATTCCCAACTGAATTGAAAAATAAACAATGTTCCAAAGCACCAACCAGGGAGGTTCCCAAAGTCATGGGATTCTCCCAAATCATCCAGTCGTCATGGATGACCATGTCTCTTTTTCTGAAACAAGCATGGTGACGACTGGGAACCTCCCCATTTTCAGAAACCCTGATGTATTGTCCTCTGACAGTTGTTAATATAAAGATTTCTCCTCTTGGGAAATGACATCTATATAATATAAATCTATAGAACATAGATGTGATATTATTGCCAAGATGATTGCTGAACAATATACACTTATAGTTTGATATATGTCAATGTAACATCCACATATAAAATCAATATGTCAATATGTCGTCTATCTTCATCAAACTACCCTCTGGTAAACGTTTACATAACTATGGAAAGATCCACCATGCTATTAATGGGTAAATCCACTATTTCAATCACCATTTTCCAGTTCGCAAACTGTTAGTCATTAGCAGAGGGTATATGAAAAATAAGCTATTAGTCAAATGGGATTATTGTTCCCAATATATGGAAAAATAAATATTATGTTCCAAACCACCAACCAGCCATTAATATTCCATTACCAGAGGGTTTTTTTCATCATTCAATCACCAGGAAAATATCCCCATGAAACCACCAAGCAGATGGCTCAAATGTTGCAAAGCACCAACCAGCAATATGTCGTCTATCTTCATCAAACTATGTGAAAAATCACCGATCAGATTTCTGGATCTCTCGCGCCTTGCATGGGCCTTGGATAGCTGGGGGCCTCATCTAAGGCATCTTCGGAGGCGTCTTCCTGACCAGTTGGGATGAGGAAAAACATCTGGAGCCACTCTTCTTCCACAATAATTTCCATGGAACTTCCATTCTAATCCCATTGAAATACCATACAAATTCCATTGTAATCCCAATGTTTCATATGGTAAAACACTTTTTGTTCGAGGCTGTTCATTACAAAGAAATCCCATCACATTTATGATCATGTTCCCTATTGAAATCGCGTATCCCGTAAATCGACTGCTTGATCATCATTTCCTGGACATACAATTGCCACTTGGAGGTATACCCTCTGCTAAACTAACATTTTGCTATGGAAAATCACCATTTGAAATGGGGAAAATCAACTATTCCTATGGCCATTTTCAATAGCTATGTGATAAATTACCAGAGGGTATCTCATTTTCAGGCACATCTCCATTTGTCACGGGTGAAATCCAAGTTTTTCTGTTGGTTAAAATCCTCATCTGGCTTTGTGCCGATAAAAACACATTGATACCCCATGTGTTATCCCACATTACTACTTGGTGGCTCCTGCCACTTATTAAAACGCTTATTCTTGTGGTATGTTATGGTTATATTACAAATGGGAGAAGACGTGTTAATCCACTTTAAACTGGGGCGAACTAACCCACGTACTAAGTAGGATGAACCACCAACTACCCTCTGCTAGACTAACATAGCTATGGAAAATCACCATTGTTAATAGCTAAGGCATCTAAAAAAAACGAATTTCCAAAGCTATGTGAGTCTGTCTGCAAATGGGTGTATACCCCAACAATAGGCTATTTATGCTATTTCACATGGGAAAATGATGGAACATGATGATAAACTATATGGGAATCTATGGGGTCCTATATGTTCAGACAAACCCATTAATAAACCATGAATAGATATTGATAGATGATTACCCTCTGGTTATTTACCATAGCTCCCATAGCTATGGAAAATCAGTTCGATGATTTAGCTATTGAATTAAGTAACCATTGGTTTTTTTTCCAGTTCGCAAACGAATTAAATTGCCAGAGAGTTACCCATCAATCCTAACTTCCAGGTGCCTCCCAGTCGTTGCGGTTGGCATCTTTCAACCTCGGGTGGTGACAGCCTTACCAACCAAAAACCATGGGATTGGAAGCGGAAAGACAAGGGCAAACATGCCAATGAAACGTCTTCAAATGTGAGGATTTCACTGATTTTTCACCAGTTGATTGGCAAACCATTGAGCCAGTTGATTGGCAAAACAGTGCCATCGATTTTCCAGAACTATATGATGAACTATATGAACTATATGAACTATATGAACTATATGAACTATATGAAATGATGAACTATATGAACTAGTAAACTCAGATCAATTGATGAAATATATGAAAATCATCTGAGATTAACATTGATTTTCCAGACGTCGCAATTCGAAAACCCATGGATTTGTTGCATCGAAAAAGGGAGGCGTCCTGCAAGTCCTGCAAACAATTGACAATCGATGGGTTGAAGGGAAAATAGACAGGAAACTATGGTTCTTACATGTTTTTAACCATTAAAATACATCACAGTAGCATCCATTAAATCTTTAGGGTCTCCCAACTTTCCCATCATCCAATTCTGGATTCAAATTTTGCGTCATCAACCCTCTCTTTCAACAGCCAGGTTCTGGATGGTTCTGGTAGTTTGTATCGCTTGCGATTTCGCCACCAAAACATGAACAGAGAGATGTCCAACATGACGCAATGAGATTCCAATGCCACCTTTCTGCTCCACAGAAGGCATGCAGTATTTGCTATCAAGTATTGAACAGGCTCGAAACCCTGCGGCAGACTGGTTCTTTTAGCTGATTGATGGGTATTCCATCAAACAAAAAGGGAAAAGAAAAATGCTTGAAGCAGATCCAACCATCTCCCAATGTGCGCCATTTTCAGGATGGTTCCGACCAAAAACCAAGCAGCCAACGTGTTGGGGAACCCGGGAACAGCATGGTATACCCTCTGGTAAACATTTATATACATAACTATGGAAAGATCCACCATGCGATCTAGCTGGGTAAATCCACTATTTCGACTGGGCCATTTTCAATAGCTATGTGACAAATTACCAGAGGGTAACTATTAACCATTATTAACTATAGATTATCCATATACTAACCATTATTAACCATTAACCAAACATGTCTTGCTTCAAAAAATGGACCTTCCAAGCCCATAGTTCGCGGATTTCCCAGCTTGCCATGGTTGATGACAGGATTGTATGACAACTGATATATTCCATGTCCATTCCACTTCCATTCCATTAACATTCCATTTCCATTTCCATTCACATTCCATCGATATTCCCTTCCTTCCCCCAGGGTCACCCTGAAGCTCAACCCGGCCCCCGCCCTGCGGTCCCGTGACGTGTCTGGCAAGACCTGAGCTGGAGAACAACGGAATCATGGGCGATGGGAAGATGATGGGCATATCTATATCATAAATATGTGGGAATATTTATGGAAAATATATCTGGGTAAATTATAATAATTCACTAACCTGAAATAAGGCCATTTTAGGATGATTCCCCTTACTAACCATGATTCCAGTGAGGTCGCAGTGAGGTCGTTATAATTTACCCAGATATATGACATAGATATTCCATATTTATGGAAAACCATCGTTATCCATGGATAAACCCATTCCAAAGGCATATCTATGTAATTAATATGGCAATATGTGGGGATATTTATGAAAAACCAATGGTTTTATCGATGTTTAATGATGTTTAATGTCATTCCGTACAATGTGGTCTGAGATGGTATATATGAGTCCCTAAATGTCATTCCATTTATTACCCTCTGGTAGGTATATAAATCACCCTGTTGGAGCTGTATGTATCATCGAACTGTTTGGACCATTTTCCAGAGCTATGATAGATTACAACCGGATTTTTTCTGGTTGCAACACGGGTTGGTTCAGAATCCCAATTCATGGAGTCTCTCCAATATATTACCCTCTGGTAAACTAACATAACTATGGAAAATCACCATTTTCAATGGGAAAATCCACTATAAATGGCCATTTTCAATAGCTATGTTAGTTTACCAGAGGGTAGTGAACCCACTGTAATCATCATGAAGCAACAGAGATAACAGAGGTAGATGGCAGCCATTGCTCCGTTGGGTTTGTCCCGAAATGGTGGTGTTCTAAGCTTGGGATCCAATTCCTTGGAGTTGGGAGAACCAACCAATATGGATTTGACGGAACTTGACCTCGAAAGTTTCTGGTTGCAGGCCATTAATTGATAACTAGTAGTTAGGAAAAATACGGAAACATCTATCCAGTAAACTCAGTAAACATATTTTTTTCAGCCAAGAAATGGATGTTAAGGTTAAGGTCAACCCATAGTGATGGACCAGTGGATAGCCATGGTTCCCCTGACGGAGCTTATCATTCCAAAACACTCATCCTATGGTTCACTTCTGAAAAGCCAACATCCAGAGAAGACAAAACCACTAAAAACACATATAGAAACACCTGGGGCCCAAGAATGGCTGGAAAACCCTCCATTCACCGACCATTCGCAATTCACAGGATCTACCCAAAAAAATCCCCTGCTGTCCCAGCATCCATCTGTAGAGGATCCTCCTGTCGACATCCGATGCCTGGCGATTCCAACATTCCAAGGTACCTTTGGGTGGGAAATTCATGATTAGTAGCCAGGCTCTATATCAAAACATCAGCAATAAATTCAATAAATCAACAATTCTAAGCATAAATATCAGCAATTCTAAGCATAAATGAGTCAAATGAGCAATAAATCCGCATGGCAAAATATCCAAAATATCCGTGGCTCAACATTAACATTGGAAGTTTTTCATCACCCACCAAACCCTTGTGGGAATCATTTCACCAACAAACCTGGTAATTCCACCATTTGGATTTCAGGATCGTAAGCTTCAAATAGAAAAGGTTGGGATCCCACTAAAATGATCTGGTTGGTGGTATACCTACCACTCTGAAAAGTATGAAAGTCAGTTGGGATTATTATTCCCAATATATGGAAAAATAAATATTGTGTGCCAAACCACCAACCAGCAATTAATATTCCATTACCAGAGGCTTAATCATCATTAATCATTAAATCACCATTAGTATCCCCATTAAACCACCAAGCAGATAATTATTAATCATCATTTACCACAGAATAACCACATATTAACCATGATTAACAGTATATTATATTCCAATCTATCTTTTTTTGGGTGACTATATCCAGACTTTTTTTGGAGATTTTACCAGCAAAACTTGAGATAAATGGTGAAAAATCTGCCTGCAAGCTTGGCTGGCATATGTTGTGATTTTTTGTGGCTTAACTTCCAGTTATGTACCTATAGTAGGGGTGATAGAGAATTTCGACCGAAAAATATGGCGGGATTCAGTATTTCTAGTTACCAAATGTTACCAACAACTATATAAATGAAAATGATGAGTGTTACATCATGGCTAGTCTTTGGCAAGAAAACTTGAAATATGAAACCCAAACGTAACATCTTGGCTTCCCAGGGTGTTCCGTCCCCAGTTGACTTCACATGGCCAATCTTAAATACGGCCAACGTTTTGTGTGGTAAAAAAATAATAAAAGAGCAAAAAATGAGAGTCTCATTTTTGGGTGAAGTAATTTATTCTCGACTTTTTTGGGAAAAATGCCGCAACAACTACTGCATAGCTTGGTTGAGGAGTTGAAGGATTGAGCAGCCACCCAAAGTGTTCACTGAGTTTCAGCTGAGTTACCCCCGTAGTGAAACAGTGCGTGCAGGAAAAATCCATATGTGTAGATCAGATTCCAATTGAAATGCTAGGTGTTTCTAGATTCTAGTAATTTTCCATGGCTATGTTTGATTACCCGAAGGGTAGTGAAGTGGGAAGTCCAGTCTGGGTTTAGAATGGTTTTAAAGGCTTTTGAATGCCAAAGCCAAAGCTGGCAACAAAGCTATAGCTGGGCATGAAATGAACGCTGCGAGAAAACATGACCCACGATTATGATTGTTATGTGTAGTTTTTAAATGTCGAGTGCCGGCAGCTGACGCAATCTATGGACTCAAGAATCTCAAGATCTACACAGCAAGACACAAAAACACAATCAAGCATGCATATTGGCAAAATCACCCCTTATACTCCATAGCCAAAAAAAAACAAACGTTGTCGGGGAATGCGTCAGACCTGGAAGTCTTGCTCCCAGGCCCAGACCAAAATTCGCCGCTATGAGCCCTCGACCCATTCGGTGCGTCCAAGGATGCGCCAAGGAAAAAAAGGGGAAAAAACAGCTGGTTACCCAAAATGTAAGCGACATACATTGTAGAAACTCTGGATTAAACCGAAAATTAGAGTCTACCTGACCTTGGGATTTCTTGTTCCAATGGTTGGGATTACGAAATATTCTAGACTCTACCGATTTCTTATCACAAACATCAGTCGTACATCAGTCGTACTCTACCCTGCAATAGATCTTTTTGGCTTGTTAGTCTATATTCCCAATAGATGGAAAAATAAAAATTATGTTCCAAACCACCAATCAGCCATTAATATTCCATTACCAGAGGGTTAATCATCATTAAATCACCAGGAAAATATCCCCATGAAACCACCAAGCAGATGGCTCAAATGAGAAATCAACCTAATGCGGTAAACCCACTGCCATAAACGTTTGCAGTTTGCGAACTGGAAAATCACCATGTTTAATAAGTAAATCAACTATATAATTTTATGGGCCATGTTCCAGTTCGCGAACTGTTAAATTAAATTACCAGAGGGTAAACCCAATCAGAATAGCTGTTGATATAGGTATGTTGATTAAAATGGTATACACCCAATATTAGCAGATCCAAATATAGTACCATCTGGTTATGACTAACAGTTCGCCATGGAAGCCATCACCATTTGTAAGAACGGTAAACCATCTATTTCTATGGGCCATCATTTTCCATGGCTATGCTAGTCATAACCAGAGGGTATACTCAATGGCAAACTGTTGGTTGGCGCCATCCCCCATTTGGATCTGGAATGATCCATCTGGTCCCAGTCATGGTTTTGTTGTTTCCCTGGGATTGCTGATCGGTTACTGGGCTTTACATGTTACTGGAATATATACTGTTAATAATGGTTAATCTGTGGTTATTATATGGTTAATGATGGTTAATAATAATCTGGTTGGTGGTTGAGTTTAACCATCTTGAAAAATGATGGAGTTCGTCAATGGGAAGGATGACATCCCATATATGAAATGGAAAATAAAACATGTTCCAAACCACCAACCAGCTTGGGTATGGGTCACAATTTGGTACCCCAATTTGTCATTGGATGGTTAATACTATATTCATAGACATTTATTCAATCTGCGGTCCCCAAGGTCATGGCTTGACCCACAACCAACTTCACCAGAGACGAGGCGTTGGCGCCCCCACCTTTGATGACGCAACAGAACTCGAACTTCTGCTGTGTCCACGTGTCCGGATGTCCTAACAGCGATCTCATGGCTGGTACCAGGCTGGATGTGAAGAACCCCCCAGTCATATGGGAATTTCTATGGTGATTTCATTGAAAAAAACTTGACTCATCCTCATATGTAAAACACTTTGTCAAACCAGCATCCACTATCATCATTATAATCTACCCTCTGGTTATGACTAACATAGCCATGGAAAATGGCCCATAGAAATAGATGGTTTACCTGGGTTTACCTATTGAAAATGCTGGATCTTTCCATGGCGAACTGTAACAGTCATAACCAGATGGTACATAACAAACATCTAGTGGAAGCCAGTGGAACCCAGTGGAACCCCGGAGTCAAACCGACGACCTCTGGAGCACTTGTGTGGAGCGTGTTGTTCATTGAGCCCAACGGCCTGGTTTGAGCTTTGAGGTTATGATGGGGAGCCAAGTTGGAAACGCAAACATTCAGGAGTACACAATGATATGTGTATACATATATATATAATTGTGTATGTGTATATATATATATACATGAATATATGTATGTATACATATATATATACATGAATATATGTATGTGTGTATATATATACATATATATATATACATATATATATACATATATATATATACATATATATATATACATATATATATATATATTTATTTATTTATTTATTTACAAATATAAATAAATACATATATATATATGTATATGAATATATGTATGTATATATATATATATTTCTATATGCAGGGGATATTCGAACTTGCGGTAACTTCAAGTGCCTGCGGTAAAATTGCATAACCACGTATTCAGGGCTAATCTCGGCTATAGCGGTGGTCAAAAAAAATCCCACAGGGGGATGGGTCAAGTTACCTACCAGATGAAGGGTTCCCAAGTCATTTTTTGGGTACCCCCAAATCATCTACAATAGTCATGCATACAGTATTCTAGAATGAATGGGATGATATGAATGGGAGAATATGAACTATACTACTGGTGATACTGGGATGATATGGAGGTTTCTATATGGAGGTACCCTTAAATCATCCATTTCTTCAAAACGGATTTTCCATGAAATAAACCATCCATTTACGGGGTAGCCCCATTTACGGAAACCCCCAGTCATACTGGGGCTGTATTCACATCCAGCCTGGCACCATCTGGCTTTCTCTTTCGTCCAACCTGGTCGATCCCAGAGTCACCATGTAGAGGGATGTAGGGGATAAAAACAAAGACATGAAAAAAAAGACTGGAACCCTAGAATAGATAGTCAGATATAATTATAATGAGCCATACTATAGATATAGAATGGGTATACTTAGTATACTATAGATAGTCACATCTATACACATATAATTGTATATAACTCAATATATAACTGCTAAATTAGCCATACTATAGATATGGAATGGGTGTTAGATCAACGGGGGATATACCCAGGAATCATCCGATGGATAACCTGCCAGAACCACCCAGATCTACCTCTTTCATCTCCAATTATATAGTGCATATCTCTCCAAAAAGATCAAAATTTAGTAGAAACTGGTTCCAAAATCGTGGAAAATAAAAAAATCGTGAAAGCATCTTTGGGAGGTTACGAGAAATAAAGGGAAAAACAACAAAAATGAAACTTTCACCTAGTGCTTGGCACTGGCATTTCTTTTGCAAAGCCAGTTTTTTTCGAAAGAACTCCTTCCCCAAAGCGGGATGAAATCATGACGACATCACCGGGCCGATATTTGGTGCCACTGCCCTGGTTGACTGCTTGAATAGAATCTAATTGGTGGTATACCTACCCCCCTGAAAAATATATATTAGTCAGATTGGCTCATCATCCCAACTATTGGGGAAAATAAAAGCCATGTTCCAAACCACCACGCAGGAATGAATTCCATAATTCGAGAGGACTGTTCGCACTGCTACTGTTTCATGCACAGAATCTGGTATGACACGAGGCCATCTTGTTTGAAGAACATCATTCCAAACTTGATGTCAACTGTGGAAATTTGGCGCCCAAACAGGCACAAACCTATCATACCCTCCGTCTTGCTGCTTTCTTTATAAAACGTGATGATTTCTTCATGAAATTGCCAGAATTCATGCAGGAAGCCGGGATGCCTCATCAAACAAGCTGGCTGATGATCCCCACAGAACGCCAAACCATGGTCCCCAATTTCTGGTCAAATCCAGGAAGAAGCCCATTCAACCACCATAGTTTCCAATCGGTCACTGAAGTGCTGAATCTTAGATGCCTGCCAAAAAATAATTTCTTTTAGCTGGTTCGGAGCATTTTTTTTGCCGATGATAGCACAAGATCAAAGTATCTAACCATATCTAACCACATCTAACCATATCTAAACATATCTATCAAGTCTGACCATATCTAACCATATCTAACCATATCTAACCATATCTAACCATATCTAACCATGTCTAACCCAGACTTTCACATTGACCGAAACCGTCCGAAACGATACGCCACGCGGTTTCGGCCACGCGGTTTCGGCGCCTATGGGATCGCTGTCACACTCCGTGAAGTGGAAGCCCTTGGGAACGTCCAGCCACAATCTGCGCGGAAGATGCCCTCCACTGACCAACATTTCACCAGTTAGTATATTAACCATATATTAACAGTATATTAATGTATATTAACCATCATTAACCATTTATTAACCATCATTAACCATATACTGGATATATATATATATAAACCAAACTGGGGATCTTTACCAATCATGGGGATATCATGGACATGCACCGGTAAATTAAGCCAACAATGATTTCAAACTCAATGGCTTTGTAATGGAATTGTTCACCAAACAAAATAGAAAATCCCATGGGTTTTTCTTGTTCGGAAATGATCCTTCATTTCAGGTGGATTTTCCGTATCGTCTTCTTAGTTTGCTGGAGGGTTGGGATGAATGTGGGATGATTGTGGATGTTTTACCCTACCTGGAGGCGTGAAGAAGATATGGAAACATCCACAATTGGCGACTTAAGATATATAGTGAATATGTTAGTTACCTGGAGGTTGAAGAAGATTAGAAGTGAGTGAAATAAGCCAGTTGGCGACTTGTAAGCTGGTCATTGGAACATGTTCGCTGCAAACCCCACGTTTGCCCGCGTCGGATCCCGCATATCCTTTGCACGCTCAAATGCCTGTGTAGGGCTAGCGCTTGTTTACTTTCCAAAACCAAAAACCCTAAAACCCTAAAAACCTAAACCCTAAATCAAAACCCTAAATCCTAAAAACCTAAACTCACAATCGCTACGTGTAGCCAGTGTTTTCATTCATCCTCTGGTGACAAGTATATGAGTATATGGTATTGTGATGTATTGTGTGTGTGTTATTTGGGTGTGGGCGAACGTGGGGTTTGGAGGGTACATGGTTCATCTTCATAGGCTTCTGTTGCTTCAGAACTGGGCTAACGATTCGATTTCGGAAATATCAAACTAGTTGGATGGGGTACAGCAACAAACAACTTGGGGGCCCCTTTCTGAACCATCACAAAAATTGTTTTATGATTGATAATTGATAGATATAATAATTAATAATCAACATCACAAGATTGATAATTGATTGAAAATTGATAGACTGTATAGATTCTGCATCCATTTAACATATTTAACCCTTCTGAATTGTGATCACTGGCGTTTTCTTGTCCCAAAAAAGAAAACCGCCGCTCCCGACCTGCAGTACTGAGCTTTATCTTGAGACCAACTCTCTTTGCTCCCATGAGTACCTCAAAGTTGGCCAGAAACCCATCAGTTCATCAGCTGTAAAAATCCGCATGTTTGATCCTGGTGGTGCAATAACCATCTTGAAAAATATGAAACTCAATGGTCAATGGCAATGGGAAGGTTGACATCCCATATATGAAACGGAAAATAAATAATGTTTGAAACCACCAACCAGGATTTTTTTGTTGCCAAGCATTCTCAGCACTCATCGATCGGAACCGCCTTTTTTTTGTGTTTGTTTTCTGGGAAAGCTAAGCTGAGAAAAACCCAATGCTACCAATGTTCGGAACCTGGTTGCTGTTAATTAGAATATGTATATCATATACATTCATATTATCCTCCGTGAAAATGACAAAAAATCAATCCCTTTCACCCACCAACGTACAACCCACTATTTCCCAACCCGGAAAAAAACATCATGTATCAACTGTTTCCGAAAACCACTTTTGCCCATAAAATCACCTGCATGTGCCGCTTTTATAGCACCATTTTGGCTGGTTAGATATGGTTAAAATCACCATTTTTGCTGGTTAAATATGGTTAAATCATGTTAAATCACAGTTAAAGATACCCAAATATGATTAAATATGCCTAAGTATGGTTAAATATCCTTAAAAATATGCGTAATACTCATCTTAACTCATCATGTTTGCACAAATTTTACTGGTGACATTCACCATGTTCAGTAGCTCAACTCCGCACAGTACGCCGCCCGCTTCGCCAGGGGACAATCGTATCTGGCCGCTGTGACCACCGATACTTCGCCTCCCTGGGATGCGGTGCTCAGCGGATCCTCGGCCATCAAAATTCACCTGGATTTTTTGAACATCAATGGAGTCTATGAGATTGGTATTGGGATTTCACCATTTTGTGATCATGTTTCGGCTCTGGTTTTCCATTTCTTTCAACCACCAGTTTTTGTGATGGAAGTGTTTTGGGATTTTCTTGGAGTATCTAATGAATTTTTCTGGGTTCAAACGGATTGTTTCATGGATTTTATGGTATGCTGTTGTTATTCAAATAGATGTTATGCGACTTTATGAGATTTCAGGTGATTTTAATCATTTGCCTAGGTAAATGAATGGATTTGAATTGATCCCAATGGAATTGTTACAGTAATGGATTTTGCTGGGATTTCATGGGGACAACATGGGGGGTTAATCTTGGATGTCCCATGTCTCGTCACCCCCTATGACTTGAGTATCCTTGCCACACTCGAGCCATTTCCCGAAAATGGTTCAAAGGATCTCGATAAATTACCCTCTGGTAAACGAACTAACATCAATGGGAATTTCAGGATATTCCCTTACATAGGCCTGAACAATAGGCCTTATATATGGTAGGTACCTCCAATTTAGGTTCCTGAAATGGCCATTGATAACAGTTTGCGAACTGGAACATCACCATCTCCAATAGGTAAATCAACTAGTTCTATGTGCCATGGCTTCAATAGCTATGTGACAAATTACCAGAGGGTAAGGGCGGTCATTTGGGCATAGTGACGTCACAGCGACATCATAATTTATCCAGAAATGGTTGTTCCATAATATTGACACGGCATTGACACGGCCATTATATACCTATAGTAAATAAACATCCAGCTATACCAGCTAGCAGCTATTTTAAGGGTACCATCCGGGTCCTTCTTTGGGGGTGCATCCCACTTAGCAAATACCCCCTGTTATATATGGAATATCCACTATTATGTATATATATATGTATGATTATGTATATATATATATTATTATATACATATATACGGGATCATAAATATGGGATAAAATTATAAACTATCTGTCATCTCATATATTCCTATTATGGGATGAACTATGAGTTTTATATGGCCGGGACACCGCCACTGCGCAGTCGTACGTCGTGCCGCCCATGCCACCGCCAAGCGCCGAAGCTACAGTGTTTGCCGGGCAGCCCATGCGGCGGTTCCTGCTTCGGGGCCAGCAACAAAGGTGGGCGATGTCTTGACTTTTTAGGTAAATATATGTATGTATGTATATATATATATTTATACGTATATGTGTATATATATGTGTATATATGTATGTATATATAGTATTATCCACACAATTTATCCATGGACTTGGTCTTTAACAAGCTGTGTTTGGTAGCTTTTGACATTGATCTGAGGTAGTTTGAGGGTCAAGGTATAGATATGAGTTAAAACATCCAAGATGATAGTAACAACAACCAACAAAAAAGATATTAATTTGCCCTCTAGTATTTTCCTATGGCAGCAAGTCGTCACCATGTCCAATGCGGAGTACATCTCTCAAAATGATGCAAAGGCGAATGGAAAATAGTGGACGATAGTGGCGATATGAGCAAGAATTGGTACATGCTATCTCTACAGTACCGAAAGCAACCTGTTAAAACCAAATTCCTCGGCATTTTTTGGGATCTCTGACCACGCTGCAGAAACTGTAAGGTCTGTTGAGCTCTGAACCCAACCAGCGACCCCCGGTTCGCTCCTGCAACACCATTCTCGTTTTGTGCCTTGGCAGTGATGGGCCATGGGGTTCGAAATGGTTGACAAGCCATCTCTTGGATCATGAATCAGAGCTGGCAATCAATCTGACTATGATCTAAGCTGCTAAGAATGGTGATATCCACTGGTATTTTGTCACACTTATAGTATGATAATGGTATGTGTGGATGGATATACTTGTTTATATGATAGTGGTGCGAGATGGATATGATGGACCCCAACTTATTGGAATTCCCAACTTATTGGAATAACAAATCACCTAAGTTGATCCCTAAGTTGATGCCCCAACATGCCCCAGCCTCATTTCCACAGCAACTTCTCATCCCGTCAAGGCGCTGGTCCAAGTGACCTCGACGCTCGAGTCCCCCGCCTCGCAGTCGTAAGGACAGGCCTCCGAAAAGAGGTGCTGAGCGCAGCAGAACTTCACCTTCCTCGGCTTGACAAAAGCAGCCGAATTCTGGGAGTTTTACGGTAAAGGGAAAATGAAAATTCATGATATGTAATAGTTATATTAATATTTAAGACTAAGTACTATTTGGAAATATTACTTAATAGTATAGTAAGTACTTTTTAGACATATTTATATAGGATAACGTGTTTTATTTGAATGTTGCTAAGGAAGCGTTGCCAACTACACCAACTGAGATATTTCCTTCAACATGTACTTAGGAATTGTAGTGCTAGGTTTGTATTGCCAAGTACATTCTAGTTTAGCTTACGACCTTCACCCAAGCTCTTGTTTTTTGTCACAAGAAATGTCAACAAAAATGGTGCTCTATAAGACTTTAAAACGGCAAAAAGCTGACAGTGGAAATAGGCCAACACAGATTACCCAATGGACCCACCGAATTGCTTCATGGCTAAGCCGGTTAGGAAACACATCAAGTTTTGGGATACATCATCCTCATTCATCCTTAAGTTGTGATCGGTTACGAAGCACAGGATGGGGACCCATAATGCCATACTTTGCTAAGTTGGTTTATATCTATAATAAGAATAGTGTATGATACTTATAACTTTGTTTAGATGGGGTTATAAACCAACTTATAACTGGGGGGGCCATCCTGATTGATGTAAACAATAGCCACCAGACCATGAGCTGTTAATCTTAAACCAGCCAGACTGCACTCATTCGGTTTCGTCAATCGTATTTATATATATATATTGAATTCAATTGATTTATTTGGTGATTACATAATCCCACTTAGTAACCCTGTAAGTATCTTAATCACCCCAGTCATAATTGGATTAACCATGATTAACCCATATTAAACCTACAAAGTCCCACGAAAAAAACCACCGTTGCCCAGGTTTTCTCATCACTTTCACTGGAAACGTCAAGGAGCGGAGTGATGTAGTAGCCGTCTCCCTGTCCTTGGAGGCTCATGTGGAATCTCACATCACCCAACTATTGGGCAATCTCCAACAAATACTTGTTTTGGTAATTATTTAATATGATTTAACAGTTTGCTATTGAAGTCATGGCCCATAGAAATAGTTGATTCGCCGTTTTTAAAGATGGTGATTTTCCAGTTTGCAAACTGTTACTGTAGTTTACCAGAGGGTAATTTATCGAGATCCTTTGAACCATTTTCGGAAAAGATGGTTGATTCACCGCCATAGAAATAGTTGATTCACCATTTACCAGAGGGTACTTGGTTTGGTGATGTTCAAAATCACCACATGATCCGCGCCGACTTCATCCGCGCCTGGATCGTAGCCCGCATGTGCGGGGCGACAGTCCAAGACCAGGTTGAGACCCCAGCCGCTGTTCGCATCCGTGCGCTGGGCACAGATCCTCGGAATCAGCCGGTGCTTGATGCTTATGGGGTCATATCATACTAAGTGAAACTACAACTGGGGATGATTCATCCAATTTTGATGGTGAAATTTTGGTTCATGAGATACACAACAAAATAAATCTCATGCTTGATCATCATGTTCATCCTTTGTTTGGTGCAATTTTGAAACTATCCCCTGGTTTTGGAGAAGATAATGGTTGGGAGAGAAAGCTTGATTTTGGGGGGTCCTTTTTTGGGAGCAAAACTTCGATTAGACACTTGAGGGTCACCTGAAATCACCTGAAGTCTGCAGCCAGTCAGGGTCATCCAGGGTCACCGCCTCTAAACATCAACCACCCGAAAAATGTCAACCCCAGATGAATAACCCCCGTTTACGGCTGTTGAAAAAAGGGGGGTACCATTTCAGTAGTCATTTAGTACTATTTGGGGGAACCACCACAGTTCATCAACCAGGGTTTAGTCTCATCCGGGGTTGACATTAACAAGTGAACCAACTCAAATCTCAGGAAATCATCCTTTCTCAATCCGATCAAATCGGCCCAGTCTCTTCTCATTCTCGTGATAGATGTGGAAGGTATCCGGAAATTCTCCAGTGCGCCCCACTTGTTCGGCCGAATCGTCACATTGGAGGTACCCTGGATCTTCCACACATTTCAAGGCGGACTGCGGACTGCTGCCGATTTGAAATGCGGTCCCTCAGCGGAAGCAACTGTGGAGTTCCTTTGGGGCACAGGGATGAAACCAGTAAGAAAACACATATGTCTATATATATATAAGTATATATATATATATTAATGAATAGTATATAAATATATATTAATGAATAGTACATATATATATACATATTAATGAATAGTATATAAATATATGGTCATGAGTCATATGAGTCATATGGTCATATATTTATAGTATGATTGTGTTATGATTTATGGCTCCGGAAGTGAAAGACATTGACAGTAGTGTCAGCCCCGGATTCGTCTTTCTCCAAGGGACCAAGTATGACCACATATGACTGGCCTTGCGTTGAGTGTTACCCTCCAGTCAAACATGGCAAGTTGGAAAATCCATCATATATAGACTGGTTGGTGGTTACACCCCCCCCCGAAAAATATTAGCCAAATTGGATCATCATTCCAACTATTGGGGAAAATAATCCAGCCATGTTCCAAACCACCAACCAGTCACCATCATTAATAACCATCATTAATAACCATCATTAATAACCATCATTAATAACCATCATTAATAACCATCATGAACCATTAATAACCATTAATAACTATAACTATAACCATTAATAACTATAACTATAACCATTAATAACCACTAATAATCATTAATAACTATAACTATAACCATTAATAACCTGCACTTATATAGAGGGTGTTTTTTTTCGAATGTGACCACTTCGAAATACTTCGAGTCCCTTCTTCGCGTCTCGCTTTGCGCAACGAGTCCACGATGTTACGGGGATGCCATGGATTTTGTGATGGGAAACTACTGGCTTTGTCATGGGATTTCTAGGGATTTTTTCATGGGAAATGACTGGAAAATAACCCGGCCTGGTATATTAACATAGTAGACCCTGGCATGACTTGGGGGTTGGAAGATTAGTGAAACCATGAAAAATGGGTGATTTTCAGGGTCCAACTGTTAATTTACCACCGGGTAAGTGATTTGATCCCAGTTCTGATTCTTCCACCGTCCCCAACTTTGAGAGCTTCTGAGGTGCCAACCTTGGAATTCAGGATTAGATGGTCTCTGAAATGGCCCATATCTGAAAGGCCAACAACAACACAAAAGATCATGGTTGATCTGTGATGCACTTGTTTTGTTGTTTGGTTGCTTAGTATGTATATATATATAATGTAAATATACACATGTATGTTATATATATATGTATAGCAAATTCTATGGAATCAAATGTTTACCCAAACAACATTTTTTGTTCGATGAAGCAAGAATCTTTGGTCTTTCTGTCGTCAGCGGAAGTGGCGAAGTGGCTCTGGGCTCCCAAAATACGGGGATTGATCAACAGGTTTAGCCCATGTTTTTGAACAGCCCCCCACTGGCCCCAAAAAGGGCTGCCCACGTCACTGTAGATTTATGAAGCCCCATAAATATGGGTACCGTTCTTCATCCTACTGATGTAACTGGATCGCAAGCCTGGTAAATGTGTCAACTAAGAGGGGTTGTCCCATTTACAAGTCTTACCCTCTGGTAAACGTTTACAGTTTGCGACATAGAAAATGGCCCCGTCGAAAATAGTGGATTTACCCATTTTCATAGCATGGTGATGTTCCAGTTCGTTACGTAAACGTTTACCAGGCCGGGTACCCGACTTGCTAAGCAGTGGGGTGGTTCCCACCCAGTAGGGGCCACCATTTTCAGACAGACCCATGGCATTTCTGCGAAATTCGATGAATTTTCTTCCCAGACACCCGGAGAAGTGGACCCGGAAGTTCCGTAGTGCTTCTTGTAGTAGAGATCACAATCCTTGGCTCCAACAGGGGTGACTTCTGGCTTGTAAGTTGGAGGTTGATATCCCACTTCAGTACAACTCGACTCAAGCAATCTGCTGCAAGATTCACAATTGGCTTTGTCTGAAGCTAGGATAATTCCAAAACCCATAGTTTATCATCATTTGTTCCCTCTAAAAGTTGGCAAAAAGTGGCGAAATCAACTCTTCTCAGGACGCTCCACTTGATGCTTTTCCATTATTTTCCAATATATTGTTGGTACCATCTGGTTATTTGACATAGCCATGGAAAATGGCCCATTTATAGAAGGTTTACCTATTAATAGCATGGTGATTTTCCATGGCAAACTGTTAGTCATAACCAGATGGTAAATCCTCAAATTGGATGGGCCAGCCGGCTCCAACCGGCTCCAACCACAACTGATTTTCTTGGACAAAGCCACATATCAAACTGTTGAAGAACGAAGTTTCCCATTCTATTTCCTTCAGATGCTTCGTTTGATACCACCATGTTTCTTGGTAACAGTCTGGTAACATCGTAATTCGTCGCAAACCCAAGTCTACTTTGTCAATTGCCCGTGATATCCCCATGATATCCCCATTTCAGGCTTGCTCCCAAGACCCCAAATAAAAGGTTGGTAAATTGGCTAGATAACAAGCTAAAATCACCCATTTTCCCCGCATGTGGTTATCATGTTAGACCTATAATGGCTTGGAGCAACGTTTTTATGTAGTGCATACATGCCATATTGAAAAAAAAACATTTTTAAATCACCCATGTTGCATATAAAATCACCAATATTTGCTGTGTATATTTGCACAATCCCCATTTTCTAGCTTTGATTAATATCCTCATTCTCCCATTGTTCCCCATTATATCATATTATATCCCCTTTTTCCCCTATTTTTCCTAGCTAACTCACCTGGTTGGTGGTTTCAATCCCCCTGAAAAATATGAAAGTCAGATTGGATCATCATCCCAACTATTGGGGAAAATAAAAGCCATGTTCCAAACCACCAACCAGTCACCATCATTAATAACCATCATTAATAACCATCATTAATACCCATCATGAACCATTAATAACCATTAATAACCATGAATAACCATTATTCGTAGGAAAAAGCTACATATTCCAACGTTTCCCGTGGCTTCAACGTTTCCCGTGGCTGAAAAATGTACGCTTCGCCCAAGGCTCCAGTACCAAATTGATGCTCCACGCTGCCTGGGCATCTGTGCGTCGGGCGCAAATCCTCGGTGCTGGCGTTAGCCGCGTTGCCGCTCGTTGCCGCGGGAGGGGAGGCTTAAAAAAAAACCAATCAAAAAGGGTTGCAATGGTGTTTATGAGGTTTATATAGATATGGATAGGCGTTTTTTGGATATTTCGTGAATTATCAGGAAAATGATTTTTGTTTATAAGGTGTTTTAAGATGTTTCAAAGATATGAAGCAAAATTGTAAGGTGGTTATAGGAGTGTGTTTCCTTTTAAATACTTGCCTTATGGGAAAGTGATGATACTTGGTGGCGCACTACCCACAAAATCGTAAGTAGGCTATATCTCTGGTTTGTTAGTAGGTTATCCCTGGTTTGTCCACTTTTAACTGGGGTGAACTAACCTACTTACTAAGGATGAACCATCAAGTGTGTAGGTTTAAGGAGCCATGGGATTGTTTTTGGTCAGCTTACAAATGGATACTCACCCAATAATTTGAAGTGATTGTGTTTTTACCATTCACTCGGATGTAATGGCTCTTGGTAAATTATAGGAAATTTCGAGATTTAGGAACCATGTACACTTACAGGGTACGCTTGCTTGGTCTTATGGATGTTAGTCATTATATATATATAATTGAGATAACATGGTTAATCCTAGAGGATTCACTAAAGATATGTTTGGGTACTAAACCATTCCCAATCATACCTTGTAATGGTTGATCCCGATCATAGATAGTTTAACGGTCAATCACGGTTACTCCCACACTGATATCATGTCCTAACTACCAGTAGGATTGATTTGGAAACCCAATGGCCCATGGTTAAAAAAAAAAACTCCAAGTAAAAAAGGACGATGCCTATCCCATTTCTTTAAACAGGGACATGTTTTCCATATCAAATGTTGACTTACCCCATGGTAAACTAACATTGCTGCGGACAGTTTTGCCCATTGAGTTCAATTAAATTTACCTATCCAAGTGATGTTGCCCCTTGGCCAAGAATCCGGCTGTGATGGGCTGTGAACAAAAAGATAGCAGGTTTGGTTAAGTTGAGTTGAAACCTGATCTTGTTCAGCTCAATCTTTAGTTCAGCTTAATCTCAGTCAACCTTGGTTAGGTTGATATGTCCCCATGTAGAGCAAACGATGAAGTTGTACCTTAAGGTAACCATCCAACATTCAGCGAGTAAAAACCAGTAGAAATGGATTGGTATTGGCAGTTTGAATGGACATATTACCGGCATTATTTTGGATTATATATACTCCCATGTTGCATGGAGATTTTCCCAATACAAAATTTTAAAAAAAAAACGTGTCTTTAAAGTACCTCTAGAACGCGGGTTTTTTTGTGTCTACAAACAACGTGTGGAACCTTTTCATTGGAAATAGGGCGTTCAACGTCAGAAGAATAGGAAGGTCAACGTCGGATTCTGTGCCCTCTAAAATCCTCGAACATGGAGAACCAACCGAAGGGTGTTCCATCTACAAACCATCTAAAGTTCAATGATGAGTTTAAGAACTTAAGTAGATCTCATGTTATAAAGTTCATAATAGATGTCGTCATTGTCATTGATGTCTGTTGATCTCATGTTTTGCTTCACTTCCTGGATTTTCATGGGATTTTCGTAGGTTTCCATGGCAACTTGGGAGTTTTTGTTTTGGATTCTCGCACACCCCCAAAACTTCCCAAGGTGCTGAGTGCCCTGATGGTAGATGTGGAAGGTATCCGGAAATTCACCAGTGCGACCCACCTGCACGAGAACAAAACGTCGACGTCATCACCAAAGCTGCTGGATGGTTAGTTCAATTGATGATTCTTTGGTCGGTTGGTTAGTTAGTTGATGGTCGTAAGCTAGGTAGTTACTTTGAAAGATAGGGAAGTGGGTAATTGAAACGAAATCGATGGTATCAATGTGGAAGTATACTTCCCTATGAGTAAAAATTTTCATGGATACAATTAGGTATTTTGATAGCTGGGTATGGATCAATACCTAATACCATTAAATTGGGGAATGAACATCCATAAATCCCAGCTATTTTGATGTGAACTACAGGGGTGCTATTGGTTTTGACACACTGCCAGCTAGATTTACCTTGTATCACAACCAATTCGGCTGGTTCTTCACCGAATTGATCATAATTGGCGTTCGTCGAGTTCGTTGGATGAAAAACTTCCTCCCATCCGACTCAAAAGAGTTAATACCGAAATGAAAGCCTGGGGAAATGTCAGGGGATGGGAATTCTATCTTTATTTATATAGTCATTATATGTCATTATATGGTATAATTCCGCGTTTTTGTAGCTTAATGTTTGTGAAAATGATAAAAAAACTCCATGGATCCACTTCACAAATGTGTGTGCGTGTGTGTGTGTGTGGCCCAAAGTCTTATTCAACCACCATAATTCACCAACATAATTCACCATAAGATTCACCATTCAATTCACCATTTCACCGGCTCAACCACCAACAACCACCTGCGAGGCCGTGTTGTCGCAGTGCACGTGCCCCGGATCCAAAACGCATTTGATGTATTGGTCGCTGCTGCCAATCTCCACCCGCTTCTTGCCTTGAGAAAAAACGCAGGACGTTGGAGGTTTTTTTGTGCTGTAATGCCATCAACTATAACTGGTTGGTGGTGAAAATCAACTATAACTGGTTGGTGGTGAAAATCAACTATAACATCTATAACTGGTTGGTGATTGAGCCATACCCCTCTGAAAAATATTACCGTTTATTGCCGTTTATGTGCAGGCACAGAGGCGGCGAACAACCCCTGCACCCTCCCGCTCCAAGCAAGCTACCGGTTTGGGGTGAGACTGGAAATGTCCCTTTGGGAAGCCACTTGCCTTCCAAGTTGCCTGAATATGTGGTCGTCAACAGCTTGGAACTTACAGTCGGGCCAACGGAGATAATATGACACCACCCATTTCCCAAAAGCCAAACCGTGGGGTTTAGACATCCTATGGGGGATATCAACATCATTGCACCGTAAGTAAGACTTCCAAAGCAACAAAAAAGCCTTCGTCCTATCACTCCAATTGACCACACACCCAGGCGGAAGGTTGGCCTCCTCTGCAAACCATCGCTTTCGATGGAGGAAAGGTCCAATGTGCTCTGTGGCCCATCGGAAATCGAAAAACAGCTGCAAACCGGCTACTAGTCGGAGTTCACCTCTTCCAGAGAGCACCTCTTTTCCGCAAGCTGACCACCATCTATGAATTGCTTCAACATTGGATTGACCATACCGCCGAAACAGTTTTTCAGGGAGAATCCACTCACGTGGGGCTGCTGGCATCACAACTACAGGTCCCGGGTTCACCCTCGGCTGTTTCGAAACATCAATGGGTTTGTTCACATTCGCCAGTCTTGACTGTTTGAGGAGCATCAAAAGGATGGCCTGGTGCAAGCATCGTCGGCGGGTCAAAGCCGCCGCCAAATTCTTCCATGCTGTCCAAAACTCAGGGGGTCGTTTGTCATTAATCACTGCTGCTGCCTGGTCGGTGAGTCTATTGTGCCAGTAGACCCATTCCTCTTCGGCATTCGTTGCCGCAGTGACGCAACAATGAGAAACCACCTTGATAATTTGAACCTCGAGGTCTGTTGTGCGCAAGAGCTCGGCAATGTTCCTCCACAAGTCAGAGTGTGCGCGATTTGGAGACACACGGCCGCCCTTGAGCAGCCTCCTGACTCTCTGTACCACTCCCAAGCAGTCACACCAAAGCCTGACTTTCTGACATCGGTCTGCTGCCCAAACCAATGCGTTGTAGACTGCCGCCAACTCTGCGCGAAAAGCAGATTGGCATAAACCCTGGAGGTGCCCCGCCAGAACAACATGGTTAGTCAGACTACCCGGGCCCCCAGCGGCAAGTGTGACCGCCCATGATCCATAACGCAGACAAGGTTCTGTAGGATTGGCACATGTTCCATCAACAAAGAGGTCACACCAGTTGGAGGCTCTTAGAGGGGGTAGGTTCACAGGTGACATCTTACGAAAGCAGTCATCCCTGAGGAGAAAATCCACATAGAGCTCCCATTCGGCAAGAACCAAAGCCCAACCATGCACTGAGAAAGCCGGCGGCAGAGACAAGGCTTCTTGACGCTGTGCCGACGACAAGTGGGTTCGACAACACTCAAAGTAAGGACAATTCCAAGCTCTGTGTTCAAATACATCACGGTTTCCACACCACTCACAGCGATCATCCGTCCCAGGCTGAAATTTAACAAAGAGGGTCCCATCCAAGTGACACCGCAGGTAAACTTGATCTGCCGAACTGTAATGACCCAGGGCTTTTTGTGTGGCCACAATGTCAACCTCATGGAGACCAGCAAAAGACTGACGGGAACCAGCAGCGACTTCCAAAACATGTGACCAAGCCAGACGCAGACGCACACACAACTCATCCCAAGGCACAGTCCACAGACAAAAGGACCCAAGACGATCTTGAACCAACCCATGAGATCCACAAGTCCAGCCAATCCTTGAAAGTCTATCAACCAAGACAGCGGTAGGGCCATTACGAGGAAGGCCATCGGCTGTTGTTGCAAACAAACCCAAAATTGCTTCCATGCGTTCATAACCCCCAAGTTCTCTGGCGTCGCGGAGAGTCTGTGCGATAGCCCATGCCTCAGGGTCTGCAAGAATGTTGGCGGTTGCCAAATGCAGCACAGGGTTCGCACCCTTACAGTCAGCTTTCAATCCACGCATCGCTCCACTCCTCAGTGTCTTGAAATGGTGCAGTCCAAGGTGAACAACAGCAATGCCATGAAGAGCTCTCGGCCAAGCCAAGATCTGCAGTGCATGAACTTTATGTGCATATGGGCTGAGACTTGCCCGCAACAAAGGCCAGACATGAGGCATGGTTTTCAAACGATCCTGGAGCACGCTATTCCAACAGTGTCGTGTGAAGTTCTGGTGGGCTCCCAAATTTCTGGCATATGGGGCCAGGGAAACTTCGAAAGCACGAAGCTCAGCTCGAGCAGCTCCATCCGAGCTCCAGACTCGCGTTTTCTTCATATCAAGAGATAAGTCCAAAGCGCTGACGAACTCCTGGATGTGATGCCAGAGGACAGGAAAGTCAGTGACCGACCCAAAGAGCACACCCCAATCGTCAACGAAGGCACGCAAGTCAACACCAGTGGTGTGAGCAGCCAACCAACAATCAAGGAGCCAGTCAATCACAATCATTCCAACGACCGAAAGTCCACAGCCTTCAGGGAGTCCACAATTCGAAGCAACTGCCTCACCAACTGCCTGACGAACCTTGAAACGGCGCGTCTGACCAGAGACAAAGGAGCACCAAGCACGCAGAACATGGACCGGGAATCCAAGGGTCCGCAAAGCACACCAAAGAGGATAACGAGGTATCGCATTGAATGCTTTACGTATATCCATTAAAAGTCCATGAATGGGCCGTTGATCAAGAAAGGAAAACTCCAACAACTGTGCAACTTGGTACCAGATGGCTTTAGCTTGACGCCCTGGCACGCCTCCTTGGATGCTCTCGGGAAGCACCGGTGTGAGGGTTTGCAATGCTTCTTTTGCACGCTCTGAAGACCAAACTCTATAAAAAAGAGAGTACACTGTGACTGGTCGGTAGTCATCAATGTGTTGGGCTTGAAGGTGCTTGGCCAAGCTATTAACAAACCCTGAGGCGACCTGGAGCGGCCAAGGTTTCCCAGCCTCAACTGCCTGGAGAATGGCCACACACGCATCAACCCCTGACGGAGGCAAAGCTGCCAAGTCCAATTGGCCAACACCATCAGGGCCTTTCCCTGATGTCTTCTTCTTACGGGCAACTGCATGACAAAACCGCCCGGAAGACCACGGCTGAAAAGTCCACTCCAATGGTTTCAAAGCCCTCTCTGTAAAGGCACAAATTTGTTTCCACTGGCTTGGAACAACATGGTGAGCCTTGTTCCATCGGGGCTTCCAAACTTCATGAAACTTTTGGATGATGTCCTGTTCAGACATTGTGGCACGCTCCTGAACCAGGGTGTGACCGGCAGAAAGTCCAGACACGTCTTCAACCCACAGTTGATCATGTTCTTGGTGAATGACTTCCAACACCTTACCTTGAGCAACCACTGGCAAACCAGGCAGCAATTCAACAGGGTGAGTGAGGACCAAAGCAGTTTCATCCTCCCGCACCTCTTCAATCCCAACCTCTAAGCGTTCAAGCAACGTGTCGACGGGGGGCGCGGAGGCAAGCTTGCAATCCTTGAAGACATAGTGCATCGCACTGGCGCGACGCTGTTTACCAAACTGGTAGCGCCGTTGTGCCAATACTGACTCATACTCTTTAACCCAAACATTCATCGCTTGGAACATGCCAGTCAAAACCCCTGCAGAAGGACACAAGAGTGGGAGTCCAGAAGGGAAACAGGGAAGAAGTCCAGAGGAAGTCCACCAACTACCAAAACCCCCAGGGAATCCCGGTGCTCTACGCAAGGCCCGCCAAGTCTCTTCACGATTGATCCTGGCATTCAAAGTTGTTGCACCCTTCAGTTGCTGTTGGGTTAAAGCCTGCAACCTTCGCAGTTGTTTGAAGTATCGAGCATGTTGAAGGCTGATACCCAGAAACCCTGGTGCAACTTCCCCAACCCTTGCTTTCCGACAAGGTACCTGGTAGGGGTCTCTTTGGACCGTATCAAGTGTCTGGCCCCGGCCCATCTGAGCCCGTGAGCAAACAAGTCCACTGTGCAAATTCCATTCACGGGCTCCTACTTCAACTTGGGACCAGAGTCTGGCATACTCAACAGTAAGGTCCCCTTGAGGATCACAGTCAACATTGCAAGTCCAGTTCTTCGGCCAAGGAAAGGGTTGAGGCATACGCCAGTAAGGAAAGGAAGCCCCACCCCCAAACGCAAATTTTGCAACAACTGCAGCATGGTCAGCCCACATGTCATGACATACTTCGACACCAAGCAAAAGGGCTTGAAGCTCTGGTGACAGCCATAATTGGTCAATCCTGCGGCTCCCACGGCCTGTGAGTTCGACCGATTGCCCCCAACGCAAGGCAGCAACATCCTGAGCTTCACGAAAACCCAGATCCCACAGTCTACGCACCTGACCAAGTTCATGCGCCGCATAGTTGAAGTCACCACCAATTGCACGTGGTCCACTACTCTGGCAAGCAACCCTGTCAACTAGTTCGGCCAACATCACCTCAGTCGTGTACTTTGCATGGTTGTGTTGGGCATTGCAAGGAACTCCATACAACATGCCAACCGTAACCCAGGTGTTACCCACAGTCAAACCCGCGACTTGCAGTCTGGCCGTCTTATAGGTGTCAGCAGCAAAATTGTGAGCAAGAGCTCTGGCTGGAAAGGCACTCAACAACATCACCCCAGAGTGGTTGCCTGTCCCGTATTGATTGCGGGCAGGGCATGGCGCTCCTGGCACAACAGCTTGCCAGGGAGACCGCACTGCTTTCAAACCCTTGACAAAATTGCGAAGACCCACAGCCGAGAGGTGAGTTTCTGAAAGAATCCATGCTTGACCCCCCATGGCAGCAACCTGGTCTACCTTTGAGTTAAGTCCAGACGGATTTGCAATGCCCAAAGTCCATTCCTCCAAAGCAGGCCCCGGATGTGAGGCTTCCCCAACACGCAGGAGACACACAAGCAACAGCAATGATAACCAAGTTCTTGGAGTTGGCCGGGAATAAGACGTGTGGCCTGTCGCCTTCCCGGAGACCCAGGCATAAGTCCAAGTCCAACCTGTGGTCGGGAACCCAAGGGACGGAAAAATCCAATGTTCTCCTAACCACCTACGCTGGAAATCGAAGACACAAAATTGAAAGTCGGAAAACCAAGGGCTCATGATGGCCATGATCAAAATTGCGACGGCACCGACAAAAAGTCCAAGGGCCATTCCACGCAGCAAGACAAACCAAAGTAAACCTCCCAAGACCACTACCCAATTGTTTAGGGAAGGTGTCCAAACAACTGGGCCCCATCACTCAGGTCGATGACGCTTGGCCAAAAGCGACTCAAACTGGCACATCTGCTGCTGAAACATCGAGTCCAACATGTTCTGCTGGTGCACCGACTGCTGTCGAAATTGTTCCTGAAAGGTGTCCTGGAACTGTTGCAATTGACCGTTATGATTGGCCAACGCTGCTTCAAAATGCGCGCTCTGTGAGGCAATCTGGGTGCGCACTTCGGTGAATTGCTGATCCTGGTCACCAGCTTGCTTGGCCATAGCTTGCTGCATCGCATCGGTATGCTGTTGCAAGTCTTGGACTTGCTGCTCCAACTTATCAACCCTAGTGACACCAGGCTCATCAGAGTCAACATCCATGGGGGCGCGCGGCAACTGGGAAAGCACTGCAGAAAGCACCCTCTGTTCCATATCTTCAAGTGGGTTACCCATGTGAACAACCGGCACTGGTGGTTTAGTGGAGCGACCTGCTGGCTTCGCCCGAGGATCATTGACTTGCAGTTCATCGATCATAGCCTCAGTGGAAACTTTTGATACTGTCGCCTGAGCAGCAATGACACCGGGCTGGGCAGGTCCACTCTGGGTCATTTCCGTCTCACGTGTGACAACAACATCACCATGGCTCATGCGCATGACTTTCTTTGGAGGTTCACTGATGGCTTGAACCCGAAACATAAGCCCAGGGACACTTGACCGTGTTGACACTGGCTGCAATGGCCGGACAGTCCATCCAAATTCACTCATGGCCTTCGTGAGGGATGAACGCAAAGTTCCATATGGCATGGGCCCAACCAAGAAAGTCAACTTGTCTCCTTGTGGGAGGAACACCTGCTCAGGCCGGATCTTGGCCGACAATGACGCTGCAAATTCCACTTTACACCTAAGGCCAAACTTGGTGCCCAAACGGGCAATGCCGCACACCTCAGGCAAGGTCTGCCTTTGGATGATCAGCTGCTTCATATCGGCACGGGGAGTCCAAATGACCTGAAAGACACTGGAAGGTTTCCTGCCACAGACACTTTTCGGTTCAACAAAAACGCCAGCATCCCCACTGAACTCCTGGACAGCGACCTGCAAGGACTCAGGCAACCTGATATGGACGGCAAACATGTCAGCTTCATCCGGACTGCAGTATGCAAAGGAATTGGTCATCCACTGCCGCCCCCACACTTCAATCAAGGGAGAGTCAACTGGGCATTGTTCAGTACGGTGCCATGCTTCGCAACCTGAGCACTCAGCATCATCGCACATCTGCAAAGGACCCAGCCTGTTGATGATGTACTGGAGAGGATGGGCAACTACCTGCTCCCAAGAACCAGAAACCATGTCACGGAAAACCATAGCCTTGATCACGCAGGTAGCAATTGCACTGACCTCGCATCCGACCCCTGAGACTGAACGTTGGACCTTCAAAGCACCAAGCTGGATCAGCAATCCATCAACTAACAATGGCTCCGAGTTCTCAGCACAAACCAAGGGGAGCCTTTCAACAGCAGACGGAAATCCATTTATCACCTGAACCGAGTCAACCACAAAAAAGGCCAACGCACCAGAGGAAAGAACCTTCCCTGCTTGGAGGTATGGGGCAGCCATTGCCATGGTTGTCAGTACAACACCTGACGCATGGGATGCAATCTGAGGCAAGTTCAGTTGGGAAAGAGAGTGACCGTTCTCGCTCTGCAAAAGTCCATGGTCAATACGGAGTCTGCCAGGATCCAGAGTGGTCTTGGCCTCAAGTGGCTTACCCTTACCTTTGCCTTTGTGGGCTTTGTGCTTCTTTTGGCCCACAGTGCCCGAGCCTTGTCGCTTCTGGATCTGAGCTTGCAGCTCAGACGGCTTGACTATGATAAAGGGTGGCCGCTGTTGGTTTGCTAACCACTTCAATTCTCTCCATGGGTTGGAGCATTGCATGGCTCTGGTCACCTCACTCTCACCTAATGCCCCGATCATGTTCTGAGCACGAGTCTTGACTTCAGAAACAGAGACCCCATGACCCGAGAGCAAATCACAAAGATCCGGATGGTCAGTAAGTCCAAGACCCGCCAAGCGAGGCCTGAAACAAAAATCAGGGAGGCACTGTTCAAATCCAACCCGCAACTCTTGAGCAAGCAAATCAACCTCACCAAGGGACACTGGAAGTCGAGCTTCGACCAGCAAGTGACGGATAAAGGCAACCACAACTGCACCACAGTGACGCGTGACCGTAAATCCAAGGTCCTTTGAAGTCCATTCACCCTCAGACCCACCCCGGAGGTGACTCACTGCCTCTGACAAAGACTGGAAAACACCTGCATGCTCAGGAGCTACACCACAGGTAAAAAGCTTTGAACCTACAGAGTCGCAACGCCAAACCAATGGGTACCAATGCCGGTCAACTGCAACTGCTGAAACCACCGTAGCTTCAGGTCCCAAGCCACTCACAAGACGCTTCCAAGTGTCAGGCACATCATGCACTGCCAAACCAGAAACAAGCAATGGATCCCACACGCCAACATGTTGAGCCTCCTCAGCAGCCGAGGCAGTTGCTTCAAGCCAAAATTTCAACTCATCATCACTCCAGACAAGCCCTTGTTGCGCCAAAATGGCAAGGCGTTGGTTACGTGTCTGGTCCTGAATCCTAAGCTCATGCAACTTTTCACAAGTCACAACAGGAAGGTCATACTTTACCCCTCTGGCCGGGGCAGGTTCAGCTGGAGGTTCTGCATCATGATAGTCAGGGCAACACGGCAACAATGCTGGTGCTTCACTTCGACAAGTCCAATCAGCAGGCAAGATTGCGAGGAGAGCATTGGCTGAAAGAGGCAAGGATAAATCCAAAAGCAATCCATCACAAGTGACCACTGACCCTGCTTCAAAAACCCCCAGTTTGGTCTCAGCCGCAAGCAACTGGGTACCGGTCGTACCTGGAGAACATCGCAGACACAGTGTTTCAGCCGTCTGTGCCGGCCACTGGAGATAGACCTGGAGCATGTCATGGCAGTCTTCAACTGGATCTTCAACCACTGTCGGAGGAATTGGGGTCGGCCACACTTCCAAACATCGCTGCTTCAATTCCAAGACATATTGATGAAGAACATCCCCAGGGTTGAGTTTGCACTGGAAATCCAAAAAACCATCAAGGTGTTGGCGAATTTGGGCAAAAATCCATAACCCAACCAATGGAGCTACGCATTGACCTACCCCACTCATTGCTAATCTCAAATTGTGGCCAAAAGAGACATCGGGAAGCCCACCCATGAGGCACCACATTTCTCGGGGGTGTAAGTAGCGACAGCGTTCCATCTCAACATTCATATGAACTTGAGTAGTTCCAAGTGGCACCAAAATCCCCACCAGTCCTCGAGCTTTGAGCCGGGCTTCGCTCAAGGCAGCACGACATCCACATGCACATGTGTACAATGCATTGCCTGCATAATGCAACAACGTCGGCAGTTTGCCCTCAGGGTTGAGGTACGCTTGATGGATGCCACCTTTGGTGTAGGTGTGGTGTTTGGAAAGTTCATACAAATTGAGGACCAATTGAGCCTGTTCAAAAGTCGGCCACTCATGCATTTCCGGCATCAAATCCTTCAGCTGTGGACAGATGGTGAGCTCTGGAAGATTCTGGAGGGTAAAAAATTCCGAGCAAAGGTGCGCAAAAAAGGCCAAACCACCTTTCACGCCGAGAACACCATGCACGAGACAACTGGATCAAAGATTGAGAAACCCGATAACCAGTGGCTGCTGCAAATTGGCGGATGATGTTCTGAGCCTCTCTGTCTTGCATAATGGCCGGGGTACATTCCAAAACTATGCAAGCTGACTGCATCATGTAACCTGTCTGCAATGCCTTTGGCAATGACAACGATCTGGGGTCTGCCATGCCCAACTGGTCACCCATTGTCGAGTGAGCATTGCAGCTGATCCCTGCACACATGACCCCGTGGAAGCAACCCTGTTCAGCCAAAAAACGGATAGTATCTGGCCCATTGATATCACCGTCAAAAAACTTGGCACCCGGGTGCAAACCCATGAAAAGCTCACGCCATCTGGCATTCTGGTCAATCCCACAAGTCAAGGTCATGCCAACTCTATCCAACATGTGTGTAAACCCTCCAAGGCCGCAACACAAGTCCACCACACGGGTCAAGTCAGCTTGGACACAACCAGGGACTGGATAGAGGAAGGACGACGACTGGACACAGAGATGAAGAGGTTGGGACGAAGTCACCTGCAAACCTACACCCCCAATGAGCTCTCCAACTGGTAACTGACCCCAAATCCATGCTTTGGCACCCCTCTTGTCTGCTGTTTGGCACAGGTGAGGACCTTCAGGCTTTTCACTTCGGCAAACAACTGAAAAAAGGCCCTGAACTATGGCGTTCTTTGTCACATGTCCCCAGTCAGTCGGTACCATGGCTACCAGCAAAAGATGAAACAATGGTGAAACCAAAAAAGACCTGTGCAACTTCCCAGCCCGTGTTCGGCCAGGACAGCTGCACCTCCTGGAAGGCATCGGGCCGTCGCAGCTCTGAAAAATATTAGTCAGTTGAGATGATTATCCCATATAGTATGGAAAATAAAAAATGTTTGAAACCACCAACCAGCCATATGTAGTAACATTAGGGGTTTACCAGGAAACTTCTATGGGTTTTGTGTTGGATTTTTCTGCGATGTATTTTTGGCTATATTCAACATCTTAGAGATGGGTTGACCAGGAAACTCCGGTTTGAGTTTGATATGGACATTTATTTCGATTTATTTGTGATATTGAATCTTAGTAGAAAGTAATAATGGCTCTTGCCACTATTAAGTAGTTCACTATTATTACTACTTGTTGATGTTAGTTGTCCCTATGAAAAATGATATGGATTATGGAAATCATCCCCAAAAACTGATTGGTTAAAAAAATGACATTCCTACTGTTAATATGTCCATCAGCCAGCAATATCCATTAATATGCCGTAAATATTGGCTTTGGTATACCCTCTGGTAAATAAACATAGACCCTGAAAATAGCCAATTTTTAATGGAAACTAATCTTCCAACCCCTATCTGGCAGGGTCTATGTTGATTTACTGGAGGGTAACTACTTCCTACTGATACCCTTTGGATCGAGGGCCGTGCCTTCAGTGATTTGGGCATCTGAAGCGGGGTTAAGTACTATCTAGGAAGGTACTGAGTATCCAGAACCTGGAGGGATAAATATCAGAAGTCATGGGGAACATCAAAAGATGATATCTAGGAAATAACATATGAGAAATTAATCCAAAAAATGAGTTCTTGTTGATGGGACTCTTGATGGGGGTACTGAGATGTGCCTCTCAGATACTGAATGACAACCTATGCATATTAACATATATAATATATAATTATTATATATTAATATATCTACAAAGCTGAGTAGCCTCTGGCAATCAAGATGGCTTTGATGACAATCCGCCATCTTATCGTGTTTTCCCTTAGCGAAAAAAAAACATGTTTGATGACACCCTGTGGACCCATGGGCCCCCTTTGCGTCCGGGTCACTTTGCTTGTAGCTGGCGCTGCTGTGGTAACTATGATGGCTGTTTCCCTTGTAGCCACCGTATCCGGTGCGTTGGCACTCCTCGCAATGACCGTGGTATGTGAATCCTATCCTAGGAACCAACTGTATAACAGAGGTCTTGTTTTTTCTGCATTTTGGGTGAGTGAAACCTCGCCGTTTGCGTAGGTGTTGATACACGCATAAACTCAATATATCCAAATGTGAGGAATCCTGACCAATTCCAAGGGAGAACGAGCCAACATTGACAAGGGACCAGTTGTTTTTGCAAGAAATTAGATGATTAGCAGAGACTTAGCAAGATTAATTGAAGGTCAACCAGCCAATTCATCGTTTTTTTTGCGGGACTTCAATATTGTGAAAGCTGGGTATGTAAACCCTTCCCAATGGAGGTATCACCTTATTTTCCCAATACTAAGTCCCAGCTCGGAGTGTTCAAAAACCGAGTGGCTGGTTGGTTGTTGACCTACCCCTCTGAAAATTAATGATGGAGTTCGTCAGTTGGGATGATGAAATTCCCATATATTATATATGGAAAAATAAAAGCCATGTTCCAAACCACCAGTCCGGTGGTTTTTTCCAGTATAGATCTGCGTCAAACATGGTCAAACTTCAGGATTTTCTCCCAGAAATTCCTGAGGAATTTCAAGAAATCCCTTTGACAAAGGTTTTTCACCAGCCATGGGAAGGGAAATCCCATGGCTGATTTAACCTTGGTAAAACACACATTTTTTTCGGGATCTCAAGGTGAATCGATGACCAAACCAGGGGATCCAAATCAGCCATGGGAAATCTTCAGAAATCTCAGTGAACTCTGCTGGATTTGGATCACTGGTAAACGTTGACATAACGAACTGGAAAGATCCACCACTTTTCATGGTTAAATCCACGAACTAAATCACCATGTTCAATAGCTTTTTGTATGTTTACCAGAGGGTAAGCAACATGGTTCATCATCCTCGGGTAGCTCCACGAGATTAAGCTTTCTAAAAGCTTACCCTCCAGTGGCCCCTCCAGATTTTTGCTATGGAAAATAAGTCGCAGTTCGTTCGATGACTCCGCCTGCGAACTGAAGCCAGCTAAGAATTCTCCTATTTATATGGCAATTGTTGCTGAACATGATAGAAATTCTCCAGTTGACTAGACATAGAGAAACTATGACAACTCTGACTGTCATTGAATGGATCGTTTTGGAGTATCCATGAGTATCCCCAGTTCTTGGAGAAAGCCATGGCAGCCATGATCCAAATGTCGAGGTTCCAATTCCAGATCCAAGCTCCATCCGGCTTCGGCGTCGGTTCGACGCGCACAAATCCTCAGCCAGCGAACTTTCGAACTTTCGACCCAGCCGAGGAAGTTGAATAAAATACCCACCATATGGGAACCCAAAATGAATACCCTCTGGTTATGACTAACAGTTTGCCATGGAAGCCATGGCCCTAATCGAAATAGATGGCTTACCTGGGTTTACCGTTCTTAATAGCATGGTGGATCTTTCCATGGCTAGCCCTGTGAGCGTCAGAACCAGATGGTAGATCCAATACTAAAGCGAAAGCGGGGCGCTTGGTGTTTGATATTCCTGTGGGGGATGGGATTCAGTGGCTGGCTAGCTGACGTTGCTGCATCATCTGAGCAAATTGTTATCATAATCCATGGCCAATCTAGGATACCCAAAAGCCTGATGGTTTTCAGCTTTTTAGTATGTAATATCCGCTATGGAGAAATTGGTGAAGAACTCATCTAGTCAGCCTTGGTTTGGATCTGTTCGACCTTCAAAGATTGCAGAGAACCAGAACAATCCAATTGTTTTGAGGGGTTTGGGACCCAAAAAGCGTTTCCGAAACTGGAAGGTTGCTGGGCTTGGGACATGTCCTCAAGGCAAGCTGAGCCCCAAAAAAACGATAGGTTTAAGCCAGTTCGATCTGAAATAAACGCCTTGGGATGTATTGGGGTCATTCTTGCGGTCTTGCGGTAGCAACTTAGCACTTGGTCTGTGGCCAACGATTATAGAATATATAGGATAAGACTGTGATCGAACATGATCAATCCCATCTTGCTTACCAATTCCAATAGGATCCATCTATGGTATATATGCTAACATTGGGGTATATTAATGGTAAATGTTACCATATATGATCATATATGGCATACATGGATCCTATGGGATTTGGTGAACTCAAATCTCAGAATTTCCCATGAAAATGCCAAGTCGCTTGTCTCCTTCATGGTAGATGTGGAAGGTATCCGGATATTTCCCCGTGCGCCCGAGCTGTTTGGCGGTGCTGTCGCAATGGACCGCCCTCGGAGCGTCCACGCACTTCACGTGCGAGTCCAAGCTGCTCCCAATGGACACCTTCGCAAGTCCTGGCTGATACGAAAGTTGCATGGACTACAAGTCACAATTGGGATTTAAGCAATAGGGATTTAAGCAAGATAAATGGGGAATTTAACCAGCAAAAACTGAGATTTATCTAGGAAAAGCATGTGATATAACCATCGAAAAACGGAATTTAATGAGATTTCATGGGTATAATTACGGTATAATATCGTATAATGGGGGTATATGAGTGGAGATATAATAAGAAATGTGGATTTCACCACCGAACAAAAAAAAGGAACTTCATGGGATTTCATGGGGATAATGTGGATTCATGATGATTTATTCATAGTTGATACAACATGATACAACTAATTTATGATGGCTAAGTTGGTTTACAACTATAGGGTAACAATGGTTATGGATGGTTATGGTAGATATATCGACCAATTTCTAACTGGGAACCGAAAAAAAAACTCGTAGGCTCGGAGTTTCAAAGCGATAGACCTACTGGATCGGAGACGGAGAAAGCGATTTTATATCAACATGTTTCAATCAAATCAGTATTATAGAGACAGCAACATATAACAGATATCGTACTGTTGATATAAAATAGTACGATATCTATATGATATATTTGACCTATACGATATCTCTATTATTTCAACAGCAACATATAGCAACCCATGAACACATGTATGCTCTGTAAATCTCCATAAACTATAATCTGTCTGAAACTCAAACAATCGAACATGGATGGCACTGGTACAAAATCGTTTTCGGGCAGGGAGTATGTTTGCATGGTTTGCCTTGTTCGCTCAAACAACTTGGATAATTAGCAGGGTGCATGGATAAATAAGTGCAAACTGCCAATAAGAAACACGCCCATACGACGACACCCGTACGTATGTATCAATTCTGATGCGCATATCATGCACACAGAATGTGTGTCATAACAGCAAGCATAATGAGCATAATGGATATACGGTCTTATAATATCTTATAATCCTATAATTGTCACTGTCTTATATACATATACTTGAGGTGCATATATCCTGTATAATTGTATATATATACACAATAGAATCATATGAGCCGCTGTCAAAATCAATTGGTGCTTGGTACTAAAATATAGGATATCCCTTTTTGGGGGGGCCCTATTGCTTTACAGTGTTTTGTTCAAATCAACACTAAATAATGAAAAAAAAATGCAGCGAAATTGGTTTCACGGATTCAGATCTCTAAACTGCTGGGAATGGATTAAGGGGCGCTCGTTGTCTTTGCATTTGCAACTATGTTGGGGAGTTATCTAAGCACATTCCTAGACTCTTTATTAAGGAAGAACATTTATTACAAATTCAACTCTGAAGTTAATTAAGATCAATGGTTCCCAATGGTCATTAAGATCACTAATTCTATGAAAACAAAAAAGGGTCGCCTCGCAATTGTCCCTCTTTGATAAGCCATGGCGTCAGAAAACGCCACACTTCCCCGCTCAAAAGCTCTAGAAATTGAAGATGGGACCTCATAGTTCCAATAAAGAAGCGTTGCTATGAAGAAGTGCTTGATCAATGGGATATCCCCTTACATAGCCCTTATATAGGCCAAAAATATACGGAATCGGTACCTCCAATCAATCGGATCCGCTTCGTCATGGCCATTGACTTGAGGCTCCCCAAGTCTCAAAACAACCGGCAGTGGCCTAGAGTTGAGGATCAAATGAGTCTATCCCTCGTTCTGGGTTCCTTTTTCAACAAAAGGTTGTCGCTAGGTTATCGCTAAATTAGAACACCTTGATGATCAAGAAAGGAAAAGAAAAAGGAACCAAAGGACAATTGAAAAAATAAAAGGAAAACGGAAGGAAAGAACCAGAAAAGGAAACAAAGGAAGAAGAAAGGACAAATCAAACAAAAGGGAAATAAAATAAACAAAGGAAATGCAGAATTGGATTCAAATAAATGTTGCTTTACTTCAGAATTCAATAGGAAAATAGAAGGAAAAAGGAAGGAACGACAAAGAAAAGGAAACAAAGGAAAACGAAATTCAAATTAAAGTAAAGCACATAAACGGAATTCAGAATTATATTAAAAAAATTAAACTATGTTTTAGTTTAATTCAGAATTTGGTTGCATTTAGTTGAGTTTTTAGTTCTACTGCTTTGGGACCTGGGAGAAAACAAACAGCTGCCTGCAGCAAGCAACGGTTCAATCACCTTGGACAACAAATGGTATGGCAACTGCAAGAAACGTGGGCACTGCCGGTTGAATTTTCTTCATCAATTTTGCCCATCGCGTGAAGGCACACAACAATATTTGCTCTGTTTACACCAAGTTTAGTGCACTCTCATCTGGTTACAAGATATCTCTTTTTGGGGGGCCCTATCGCTTTACATGGTTTGGTGCACTCTCTCAACACAACTGGACCCTCCCTTACTAAAGTAGTCTACGCTTATTTTGACCGCATCTCATATGAACCTGTTACGTAACCCCAAGTTGTTTCTTTCACGTCTTCAATTTTTCAACCAACGGCGTTCACAGGCCTGCGCGGGAGCCAAAGTGTCCATAGCTGCCACCATAACTTCCACCATAGTGATGGCCATAGCTCTGGTGACTGCTGTGATAGTGGCTCCCATAGCTATGCTCAGAAGGTATGTACAAACTGCCGCTGTGGTATCCGCCATAGTGGTAGTCGCTACCATAGCTGTGATAGTCAGACCTTGGTTTTGAATCAGTGACAACCAGGACGACCCCAAGAACAAAGAACGCAAACAACAAAGTATACTCGTAGCGCAGTCACAACTAGCAACCAAACGACGAATATCCAATAACAGCAGCAGCAGCAGCAACAACAACAACAACCACCACCACCACAACAACCACAACCACAACCACAACCACAACCACAACCACCACAAAAAATACATCTTCACAAAATAGCAAAGAACAGCTGCACGTCCAAATTCAGAAGAGACAACTATATATATATATGTAACCATATATTATATAATAATGTAATACTATATAATATTGTATAGTCACATGTTAACAAAAGTATAGAACACATATTTGAAAGACATAACAGACAATGTATAATAAAAATAAAACACAACAAAACAAACATCTGCCAGCTGCCTGTGTCCATAGCTGTAGCCACCAAATCCTGACTGTGACCGTGTGCATTCCAAGACCAAATCCAATCCCCAGCCGGCTTCTGCATCGGTACGTCGCGCGCAAATCCTTAGCTGTTGAGATGGCTGGGCATCCCAGGAATCATCAATTTTAAGTTTCTCCATGTTATTCTATGTGTATATATATATACATATAATATGTAATATAATGGAATATATATATAATATGTAATAATATAATGTCATATATATATAATATACATATGTTCTAATCGTGGTATATCGTGGTTAAGTTAAGCACTTATCCAGGATGCAGGTCCAAGTACCCTTAAGAATCCTTTGTAGTAACTCCCTCCCCAAGTCGCATTCCTCCGCCCACAGGGAACACATCCACACCCTGGCGATGGCTGAAGCATCCAACACCAAAGAGACCACAGCGTTGGATAATTTACATCTGTTTACTTAACATAGCCATGGGAAATGGCCCATTTATAGTGGTTTACCTATTAAAAATTGTGATTTTCCATGGTTATGTTAGTTTACCAGAGGGTACATCTTTTTACATGATGGTTTCTCAAGTGCGGGATCCCCAAGTCACCATAGTTATTTCAAGTCACTAAGTAAGGTCATTCATGACGACTGGATGATTTAGGGATACCTCCATGTGACTTCGGTAACCCTCATATAGAAGAAATCTCAAAGAATGAGTTGAGTCCAACACTGGCTTTGATTAATTCATTGCGTGGGAATCAAAGCCTCCAATTGGCCAATCGAATTGATGTTCTCCCAAGTTGTACATTTGGATGTGGCATATGGATGGGGTTACTGAAATTTCTCCAGACAAATAGGCGAAAAGCCGATTTTTTGTGGAATGTCCGCCAGTCATTAGTCATTCTAAGCCACTCTAAAACGGTGCCAGCTGCCATTCAGCACCCTGAACTACGATCCCTTCTGACAAAGCAACTGGAAATTGTTAGCAAAAGCCCCACACAAATCATCCTTTGATGGCTGATGCCGGGTGCCATACCAAAACAACCCATATCATAAACTACCTGACTACCTACCCGGCCAAGCACCTTACCTCAAAATCAATGTTGCCAAGCTCACATCAGCCCAGTCTCTTGTCTCCTTCATGGTAGATGTGGAAGGTATCCGGATATTTCCCCGTGCGCCCGAGCTGTTTGGCGGTGCTGTCGCAATGGACCGCCCTCGGAGCGTCCACGCACTTCACGTGCGAGTCCAAGCTGCTCCCAATGGACACCTTCGTTTTGCCTGCCAGAGTGGGAGCTGCCGGCCCTTAGGAGAATGATTGGTATTTGGGGGGTTCTTGAAATGGAGGTACCCCAAAAAATGGATGGTTTATAACGGAAAATCCGTTTTGAAATGGATGATTCTTTGGGGGTACCCCTATTTCAGGAAAACCTCCATAGAAAGGTAACTGATTTATATAAAAATCGACCAACAAATAGATAGGAAATTACTGTGACCCGTTGATTTACAGTAAGAAACACAATTGGGTCATTTCCCAAAAATGGGTGTTGCCACCAACCCCTGGTTGATTCACATCATCTCAGGTGACCCAGGTGAGATGGAAAATGTTCATCCCATTAAACTAGATTCGCAAGAAGTGAGAAGCTGACCACCATGCTGAAGAAGCACCATCTCTATTGGGGATTTGTTTTAGTCGTTTTGGTTCAATCCCCCTTTTCATTGCTTAAACCCCCACTTAAATACCGTAAACACTTGCTTCAAAATGAGTCGTGTTCTTTTGCTGATTAAATCACCCATCTTACAACGTTAAACCCAATCCAAACATGTTTCCAAGTTCATTTTTTACTGGCTAAGTTCCAAATCTGCTAGAGATATCCCCAAACTATATTGAAAATAGTTTGGTTTCACGGAAAATCTACAGGAAACTCTGGTCTCAACCATGAAACTAAGGCAACTACTAAGGCTTCTTCTGTATCTGTTTCTTTTCATGTTTAGGGTCTGAATTAAATATCCAAAGAAGCTTTCCGAATTTCCAATCTTTCACTGCTTATTTCCTACGGATCCACATACCTTCGATGCCGCTTCTGGACCCCTTAGTCGTCACCGATAAATATGTTGAATGAATCCTCGAATTTCATCAACCAGGGTAGATCGTAGCCACTCCGAGAAATTGGATTTGACTTTAGCTCTCTGGGGGTTGAAGCCCGCAAAAAAGACACCCCCAAGTTCTAGTAAACACCCGCATTGTATGGTCCCAATGATGTGGAAATCCCCCTGAAATCCCATGGAAAAATCCCTGTTGATGATGGATGTTGATGGTTAAATCTTTAGGAAATCTCCATGAAATTCCCATCATCCCATCACCCGGACTACCCCCAGGGGGGCCCCAGGTCCACCTCCCATGCTGCTCCAGGCTTTCGGGTTCCCTGTGCGTTGGCATCGCAGGACTAAATCGATGCCCCAACCTGCGGCAGAGGATGGGTCCTATGAACTATGCGGGGATACTATTGATTCTATTAGCTGATCTGCAAGTAGGTCAAGTATAGATTCACAATAGTTGGCAGTTTATGGTAGATATAACTATATAGTTACAAATAGTTACATTTAATGGGGATATACGCCAACTTGCAAGTTAACCCTCTGACTGAATGGATAATATCAAACTAAAATGACATCAACCATAGGTTTTCCCGAGTTGCAATCCTCATTCTTGTCAAAATCTCTGTTGCTTCTGCCAGTGATGTGTCAATTTGCTATGGCATCCGCAGCATCGCGGCGCTCCAGCATACCAAATCTATGTCTGATCATCATACACCAACATCATAGACATCATCAACTTTAGATATGTAATCATATAGCATAATACATTATGAAAAAATATGAATATATACATATATATATATGGCTATGGTTGGTGGTTTCAACCCCTCTGACAAATATGAGTTCGTCACTTGGGATGATTATTCCCAACTGAATGGAAAAATAAAATTCATGTTCCAAACCACCAACCAGTATGCAATATATACCAACCAGTACATGGATGGAGGCATATCTCAGTTTGGTTGGTAAAAATCTCCCGCCTTCGGGGGAGTCGGTCCTCCTGGCACAAATCCTGAGAAACAGGGCGGAAAACTATGGTTACCCTCTGGTAACCCCCAATGATAATTAATGATGATATCACCCCCAAGTATATTTAATAATGACTATCTATCATGAACCATTATTAATCATCTACCCTCTGGTAATGACTAACTCTCTGCTATTGAAAATGGCCATAGAAATAGTTGATTTACCCATGAAAAAAGCATGGTGATTTTCCATAGCTATGTTAGCTTACCACAGGGTAATAGGGGTTAATAATGAAAATAGTGCTTACTGGTGGTTAATACTTGTTTAATAATGGTGATATAGTGGTTAAAATGTGCTGATGTGGTAATTATTGCAGATATTTACAAATGATAATCCAAGAAGTGAAGATGCTAGTTTTATAAGAAGTCAAATATCAGTCAGGTGTGTGGTTAAAATCAGTCAGGTGTGTGGTTAATACTGGTTTTAATGGTGAATTTTGGTTCATAATGGAAATTACCATCTTGTAATTCAACATTAATGAGCAATGACCCATTCATAGATGATTTGCCATTGAATGCTTAACCCATTTGTAGATGATTCACCATTGAACATCATTAAGCATGGTGATTTCCCAGAGCTATATATATGCTACTTTACCAGAGGGTTAGCTATTTTTAAGCAGATACCCTCTAGTAGATGAAGAGTCAGACCTGAAAATAACCCAGTCTTAGTGGAAACGATTCTTCCGACCCCAAATCATGGCAGGGTCGATGTTAGTTGGTGGTAAAATTGGGTTAACCGTAAAAGGGATGAAAAACAATGTCTTGGCGTGTTTGAGCAGTGTATTGAATTGCATTCCTCTATCCTTCAGAATATGTATATATATATATACCAGAGGTTGGCCAAAAAATCAACGCAAACCTTGCGCAGGTACACCGGTACCCCTTGATTTTTCACTTGTATTTGGTGGTGGGATATTGAATATTCACCAGCCAGCCGCCAAGGTTTACCTGCCAAATCCGGGCTTTGAGGCATCTCGACCCAGTTTTGTTTGGTGTTGTGTTCCGGTACCCTCTGGTAAACGTTTACATAACTATGGAAAATCACCACTTTTAATGGGTAAATCAACTAATTCTATGGCCATTTTCAATGGGAAACCGTTAGTTTACCAGAGGGTAATCTAGCCTCAGGATTTTTCTGTTTTTCCGCATCATTTCCCAGCCATGTTTGAATACCGGGAATGTCAACCACCCATCAGGGCTTGATCATTCTCTGGCGGTTTACCACAGATTTCGTCGCCGACAAATGGGCCGTTTACTGCATGGTACCCTTTGGTGAACTGACAGTTTGCTATTGAAAATGGCCATTTATAGTTGATTTACCCATTAAAAATGGTGATTTTCCATAGTTATGTTAGTTTACCAGAGGGTAGTGTTCTTATCAAACCTGTCAACCGAATGTGTTCCCTTGTATAAATTTGATCGATACCCAATATTTGCCTTGCCACATGAGCAATGTTCAAAACACGACTCCGTTGTCCCACCAACAGGGGTGTTGAACACCGCTCACACGTTGGGGTGGATCGCATTTCCCCATAGTTCAGCTCAAGTCACTGGTTTCCGTGGCTGTAGATGTGGAAGGTGTCCGGATATTTGCCTGGCAGGGTGAAAGGGGAGACCATGGCCCTGGGGACTGCCTGCCTCATGGCCTTGCCAACATTCCCCACGGCTCGTTCCTGCAAGTTACAGCGTGGATCCACCCAAAACGCTCCGATGGATGTAGCATGATGTAGCTATATCACCAAGAAAAGAAGTCGGAAAGTTTTTTGAAGCAACTCACAAAATATACCATCTGGTTATTTAACATAGCCATGGAAAATCACCATGCTTAATAGGTAAACCTCTATAAATGGGCCTTTTCCCATGGCTATGTTAAATAACCAGAGGGTAGAATCTAGAAATTCTCAGGGCACGAATCTATCGAATTTCAGAGTCTTGCCAAGGAGTTTGGCAAGGCCAGCACTTGTGGAACTGCCGGTACGGGGTACCCAACGTTCGATCCGGAACGTTTAACCAATAAACATAACAGACATGCTGTGGATCAAAATCTTACCACAAATATCTGGACTATCTCCATATATTCGCTGGTCGTTCATCACCCAAGTTGTCACATATCAATTTTCTGGCTTCACTTCTGACTTGAACAAAGCGATCATCAGAGGGTCGTAGCCACCGGCTGGGTTTGGGTATGGTCAGCTATTAAGATTTGGAAGATAGACAACGCGATCGTACTTTCCATGTATGGTATCTTACACATTAAGTATTCCAAAGGGGATCTCATTAATATCTCATGTAGGTAAATATGAAAACCACTCCATATATATAATACAGAAGCATACAAAAGCATATTGTAGCAGATACCAAACCCAATTCGAGGCCTTTGTTTCGTATGACCAACATAGGGTTGATCGCTTCATGTCGCTATCTCCAAATTCATCACATGGCTGTTTTTCTTGTTGAAGCCAAACTCGGACACAACGTGGGACTCTCAGGAATCAATGACCAGGGTTACGTTATATGGAGGATTTCCTAACAATAGGGGTACCCCTAATTTTTTTTATGTTGATGGGATATCCATGATAAATTATAAATAGTTATAAATCATCGATTTTTGGGGTATCCCCATTTATGGAAACGACCAATATCACTTTATGCTTCTCGTAGGTTTTGTTGGGGTAAACCCCCCTTTTTTGGCACATTCACATACCCCTGCGTGGGCCACCAGACTCGCCACCTAGTTATGTCTAGTTGACAGTTCCCCACGAGTTCAGTAAGCCACTGAGTTTCCAAAAAGGCCTCCGGATTTCTCCCATCTTCTCCACAGTGGCCATGAATTTGGCTGAATTGGGCTATCCCCCATGTTTTTTGATGGTGAAATCCTCGTGTTCGATGAATTTGAAAAATCCTCATTTCTTAATCCCAATGGTCCTGGTGTAAAGACCATTTTTCAACGACCTCCGAAAAAACCGCCTGTGCGCCCATCCCCCGTTTTTCACCGCCTGTGCGCCCCAACTGCTTGGCATTCTCATCGCATTTTACGCCTGGGTCCTCCACACATTTCACGTTGTTGTCCAAGCTGCTTCCAATCCTCAACTTCTTCAGGCCTGGCAGTGCAGTTCTTGGATTGCTTGTGGGATTTTTTTACCTAGAAACAATTGGAATTCAATGGGAATTCATGGGATTTAAGTACCCAACTTGATATGATTTTGGGGTCTGTCTTGAGAAATCTGTAAAATAATGGTTTTTCATGGGGACTATACCGTCAATGATGGGGATTAAACGAACAAAAATAGGATATGATGTGGTTTGGACACTCCCAAATATGTCATCACAATGTGGCAAGTGAGGGAAAATCTTAAGATTCACTGCTTCACAAATTTTGGGGCACCCTACTTTCAGACAAATCCAGAATCCATAGCCGGTAATATCCAGATTTGATAAATATATCTTAGTTGGATGTATACAAATATCCAGATTGTTCGAGAAACAAAATCTCAGTTGGATGTAAGAATTGGATCGCATGTCCAATATTATGCCTCAATTTCAGATAGTTCTTGCATGTTCTTGCTGACTCCCAAATCTGTGGCTAGTCGCACCAGCATCTTGATTCTTTAATACTCTACTTTAACCAACCACCATGTATGATTCTTAAACAAATTTCAAATTGATTGTTTTACCAACAACCATTGATTCTTGCACTAACCACCATCAAACCGCCATCATGCACGTTTGATGGTCAAACTTTCATTGGATTGGTTTCAGGGAAAATTTACAGGAAACCTCCATATTTAGTGGTAAAAACCATGGTTTCCTGTAGATTTTCCCTTAAACCAATCCAATGAAACATATTCACCCAGTATTTTTGACGGCGAACTCCGAAAGTTGTGGCGGGTGTCCCTGCCTGAGATTCCAGATGTGCTGCGTCCCTGACAGAAGACCTTGACCCAAGGCGGGCCGCTGCGGTTCTGACCCTCATCCCATTTTGGACTGCTCAATTGATAGTTATCATATCCCTAAATATACATATATTTATTATTATTGTGTTTCCTGAAGCCTCCCAATGCCAACAAGTGAACCGTCCTGGAACCCTGAACAGCAACTGAGATCTCGACTCCAACCGGAAAAAGAATGTTTCAACCCAAAAAACAAAACCAAGTTTCCCCAAAACTCCAAGCAGCCACCTCGCTGCCAGCTGACGCACCTTTGTGCCACTTGACATCTAAAGGGCTTCGGTTCGGCCCAGATGCAGGTTCTTCAAGATTCCTAGACTACACCCGGAGGGTAGTAGTCTGGACTACACCCGTTGGGTAGTAGTCAAAGCAAAAGTGGAAGTATTTCCATTTGAGAATTGGATAAATAGGGATGCATGAAATTCTCACACGCACTCCCCCTATGTGATCAGTTCCACTGACCACATATTCAGCTCAAGCCCTCTAAACAAGTCTATCATCTGCAGTGCAGCAAATCGCACATGGATTGAAGGCCCGAAGTGGACCATTGGATCCCGCATCACGACAATGCTCATAATCAACATGAAGTGCATATCCATGTGAGATCGCATACAGCCTATGTTGGGGAACGTCTGACTGTGGGCCACATCTGTGACATCGTGGCGTCAGACAAACTTCCTTGGCATGTCTAAGACCATGGCATTCACGGTCACAGTGGTATCTTCCACCAAATGGCGTGGTGAAAAGGGGTTTTGGTCCTCTTTGGGAACGAGATCCTCTTGATCTCAACATGTTCGCCGGCTCACGCGCCGCTGCGCCGCCATCTGCCGCGCCAGCTGCAGCGCTAGGAATGCCAGCTGCTCCATAACTTCTTGGAGCGCCATCAGCACTGCCAGCAGCTGTGGATGCAGCGCCCGCAGCACGGCCAGCAGCCGTATTTCCATCGCCAGCAGCGTCAGCAGCACAGCCAGCAGCCGTAGATGAAGTGCCCGCAGCGCCAGCAGCACGGCCAGCAGCACTAGATGAAGCGCCTGCAGCGCCAGCAGCACGGCCAGCAGCCGTAGATGAAGCGCCTGCAGCGCCAGCAGCCGCAGATCCAGCGCCCGCAGCGCCAGCAGCACGGCCAGCAGCCGTAGGTGAAGCGCCCGCAGCGCCAGCAGCCGTAGAAGGCAACCAATTTGGCCTGACAGTTGGATCACGTTGCTGCTGATTTCTTTCATCCTCATCTCTTTCTGGCGCATGCCAAAAACGCAGGCACGTTCAGCAATGAACCTTTGTATTTGACAACAGTGAGCTTGTCAACTCTGTGCCACATGAAAATGCTCATGACGCATGCTCCAATGATGAAACCGGCAAAAAGGATCACAGCCACAAACATGATGAAATAAAACTGACCGTCTCTCTGCTGCAAAACTGGATTGAGGTCTTGAATGACCAAAGCATTTGAAATATCTTTTTTCTCCTCATTCGATGCTCCTGCAAGCGCCAATTTTGTCACCAAAATGATGATCTTCAACGCTTTCTCACGTGCTTCTTGTGTCATCCCAAAAGTGGTTTCATTCTGTTCTCCGTCTTCTATCTTTTCCAAAACTTTCCAACCTTCCAAAAACATGCCCATGGTTTCTTTGTGCTGGTTGAACTTCTGCACCGATAAAACTTTGGTGCCCAGGTCAGCTGGCATCTCAGCTCCAGGCAAATGCCGGAGCATCCATTCCCCAGACAAAACTCTTGAGCGCAAAATGAAGGCCCTTTTCCGCAAATGGCGTGTCCGCCAAGATCCAGTATCTCCGGCAATGATGGCTAATGCCGCTGAGCTGTCTGTGTAGGAAAATGACCTAGCACAAACATCCAATGCCTCCTCCAAAACGACCTTGACAGCATCTCCCGCCAATGCTCCTTCAAGCACCTCCACAAGTTCGGCCTCGGCCGTCGATGCAGCTTGAATGGGCTGCTTGCCAGCCTTCCAGAGCAACAGCGACGATCCCCAAAGGATCAAATGGCATCCAAATGAGATATCGCTATATGATGCATCCGTGTACACATTGAGCTGCTTCTCGCCCATGTTGTTCTGAAAAATCAAACCTTGGTCCATGGTGGCTGCCAAATAGTACCACACTGGTTTCACCAACTGCACAACCTGCATAGGTGACTTTGTGATCAATGACGCCAGCTTGGAGACAGTGAAAGCCAAATCAGGCCTGGACCTGGCAGTGATCCAAACCAATTCACCAATGACTCGCTGGGCTTCTTTGACTGCCATTGGAGTCTTCTCCTCACCTTCAATGACCTCGGGCTCCTTCACCAAAGGAATCTTTCTAGTCGGCCACGTAGTGGGATCTGCTCCAAGATTTCTTTTCAGCAAGTCCTTGATGTAGTTTGTCTGCGTCATCAACCAGGCTCCATCTTCTCTTCTCCATAGCTCCGCGCCCAAAAATCTCACCTCCTTCTGCATGTTGATGGTCTCTGGCTCCGATGTCTCCCATTTCGCCTGCACCCCTTGAATGACTGCAGCGATGGATGAGGGAAAACCAAGGACCAGAAGATCATCCACATAGACCAAAAGTAGTCCCACAAACTCTTCCTCATTCGTCTGCAAGTTGGGACCTGGTTGCTTCAGCATCATTCTCCACATGTTTGGCTCCGTGATCATTTGCTGCAAGGTCAAAATGCCACCCTCGCATGGTAACTCCATCTTTGCAATCTCCTGATCACGGTAGTCTGACCACAATTTGGGTGACTCCTTGTAGCCGTAGAGGGCCATGATGACCTCGTAGAATTCGTCTGGCTTGGCCAATCCAGCCAAAATGAGAAGAGCAGGAGGGCGGATGATGGCTCTTCTAGGCTCCATCTTCTCCCCATTCTCATCCTTTGACCCGGACAAAACCATTGGAGCATTTAAAAATGCTGTCCTCACATCCATGACGCTCCCTTCAAAACCAAATTGTGATGCCACCGTCAATGCAGCTCGAAGTGCCACTGCTGATGCTCCGCCTGCAAAGAGATCTTGCCCTTCTTCTCTTTCTGAGAAGTTCCCACAAGCCACCAATCGTGTCTTTTTCTTGCCACCCTTGTTGGTCTGATCTGGCTTGACTGTGAAGACCAGCTTGCTAGGGATAAGTTCTGCTCGATCTTCGTCAAGCAGCTTCTTCACCTCAGCTTCTGTGATCTTTCTCAGCGCCCCTTTCGTCTCAAACAAGGAGGTCAGCTCTTTCTCGATGGATGGCCTCCAAACCTCAATGGAACGGCGAACTTCAGCTTGTGACACAATGCGTGTCTGCAAAACTTCTTCTCCTTTCTCAGGTCCAATCAACTCTTTGACCATGGTGATGGAATCCAGCACCATGCCAGCAACTTTCTCATCATCTTCCATGGCCTCAACCATCTCCTCCTCTATCAAACGTTGGACCCTTTGTTTCTTGGCCCATGCATCCTTTTCTTCCTCCTCAAAACTTGGTGATCTGCCATCTCCTTCTTGGTTCTCAAGTTCATCTGCTTCCGCGGCGTCCTCAACCTCCAGCATGTATATGGACGCTTTGTGTCTGATTCTTCTCCTCTCTTCGATTGGGTCCAAGGCATCTTCAACTCCAATCCAATCCTCCAACTTTGGTGGTTCACTCAAGCCCTGCATGACCATCTTCGTCAGCGCCTGAGTTCCATCTGCCCTTTCAATCCAATGCCCATGATGAACCCAAGAAGGACATAGGTAAGTGACCTTCTCCTGTGTTGGTTCCAGTTCTCGTGATCTCCAAAACCTCTTTCTGACCAAAACTTGCGCCAAAAAAGGCGGTGTCTTTTTCTCCTTGTCAACCTGCTTCTGTCGCAACTTCTCATTGATGAAGCGAGCTGCAATTGGCCAGCGATCAAAAGGTGCTTCAGCTCCATGAAGTGTCCGCCTGATGGCTGCCTTGATGTGCTGGACAATCGCTTCACAACGTCCATTCATTTGGGGCTGATCCCCCGGCGTAAACGTCTGAAGGATGGTGCGTGACAGGCACCATTTTTCCAAAATCCTCGATCTGAACTCAGCTCCTCTGTCGCTATGCAGCTGTGTCACTCGATACCCGTCTGCTCTCAGACGCATGTACATGTTGATGATCGCCCTGGACACATCCTCTTGGCTCCTTGATGCCAAAGGCTCGCAAAGCTTGGTAACCTCAATCCTCACCGGCTTTCTTTCTTCAAGCTCCTCTGATGTGTCCTCCTTTGGGCCTTCTTCTGGGTTTTCAACCTGATCTGCAATCTGCTGTAGCTCCTCCTCTGCTTCTGGATCCTCAATCTCCGGCGCATCTGGGGGAACTTCAGGTATCTCCTCAACCTCCTCCTCTCCATCTTGGTTCCTGGCTGTCCAAGTGAAGCTGGCTACCAGGAGATACTTCGCCTTCTTCTTCTGCAAATCAGGTGCTTCTTTGAAAGGTCCTGAGATGTCCCCACTAAGGACACCCGCTTTTGGTGGCAATTTCTGCCGCCGATGATGAGCATCACGCGCACAGGCCTCTTGGCACACTCTGCAATCTCTTCTAAAAGGAGTATGGCCTGCTGCAATGTGCTCCTGCCATGAAACTGCCCGTAACTTGACCTCTTCGCCCATGGTGCAGGTTTGGAGAGCAACAGCAATGGACCTCATCATCAAGGGTGGCCACCGTGACAATCTCCTGGACGATTCGCAGATCTCTGCCTTGGTCATTCCAGAGACATCACGTGGTTGCCCTTTCTTTCCTTGAAGTGGTACTTGAAGTGGCAGATTTCCTCCTATAGTCGTTGGCTTTGTAGCTATGGCCCCAAACTCTGACTGGTCAAAACGCTGGGTCTGCAGCTCATAGATCTCGGCCAAGCTCTTCCATTGAAGTGTTCTCCAAAGCGACACCACTTCAGGCTTGTGTTCAGGTGAGGCAGGCTGCTCCAGGATCAAAGTGGTGGGTGTCTCTAGCCCAGCTGCTCTGCGCACCGTCTCTGACACAATGTAGAGAACCAAAAACCGCATGAGCAAC